TCCCATACCGATGGAGGAGCCGAGCGCAATCATGGTCAGGTGACGCGTCGACAACGAGCGGTGCAATTCGGTTTCGGCGCCATGGTCGACGTCAGGAGAGGCCCAGTCGCCAGTGGGTTCGAGATGCTTCTCCTTGGAACTGGATGTCTCGTACGCAGGTGCATTGCTGTGGTCGTCCATCATGAATGACCGCGACGGGGGAGAGTGTGAGTACGCGCAAAGAGATGGGAAGAAGGAAAAGGAAAAGAAGAGACAAAGAAGAACCGCGTATAATATCGGGCGGACAACGGAGGATTAATATAAGACTTGCCCGTCGATGTCGTGCAACCTAGTGAGGTCAGCTTGCAGTTTCCGAGAAGCTGAAGTCAATTTGTTGAAGGAGGTGCAGGGGGCGAATTGAAACCACAGATAAGACACGCTCACTCAGCCCACTCTGTATGGTTCGCTATCATGAAGAAGGCGAACAGGTAGATAAAGAATCTTATCGCAGCTTCCAGTCAAGTGGTGTTGAGTGGTGTGTCAACATTTGCCCCATCGGCTTGTCCGCTGCAAGCAAGACTAGCGAAATCTTCTGGAAGACAGGCAGGAGCGAGGATCCTGCGAGTCCAACTGATAACCACCGTGATGCCCATCCAATAGGCGATCACACGGTATCAGAAGGCGCAGGGCCTGTGCCACTCATTTAATGGCTCTCTTGGCCACGGTACAATCAAAGGACAGCTGTTATCGGCTCTAAGTAAGACCGGCTCGTGTCGCCATCTCTCCAGTATCTGGGGAATGTTACATCGACTCGGTGGGCTGGCCTAGGTTGAACAAATGACCTTCACGGCCAGTCGGGATAGCCAACCGGATGCGGCCAGTTCGACCGTCAAAGGATGCACCCTCATGCTGTACTCGTGGCGTGAAATCAACACTGTCGTAGAGGTGGCGCCTGTCCATCCCTTGCAGGCAAGGAATGCAATAGGCATATTGGTCAAGGCAAGACAGCATCTGATCCTATTCGACTCAGCCCAATCTCCATGGCTCCAACCTGTTGTCCCCAGCGACTAGAGCAGGCCTGTGATGTGGAGTACAGATACTCTATTTCTTCAAGATAAGAATAGGACGGGAAATGGGGTCCGTCGCGGGCCAGGAGAGGGGTTTTCAGGGCTTATCGGCGGCCAAGCGTAATGCTCTGCCGGTCTGCGGGTGAATCTGACGTGGTGGTGCGAGCCTAACGCAGTGGTGCTGCGAACTATAATCAAATGGGCCCGCGAGATTAAGCTATCGAATCCATGCTGGACCAATTGCAGCATTTGGTGCAGGTGATCGGCGCCGGATTGGCGCGATAGCATCGCTCACTCTTACCCCGGAATGGCGTCAGGCCAGATAAAGAATTCCCGGATATCGCCGGAGATTGTTCTATTCCCCCTATTCTTTGACCGGTGCATTGTTATGCGTGTGAAGCACAACCCCTGTTCACAGCCATTGTCGAGCGAGCGTACGGAAAGGCAATCAGATCAGGCAAGCTCATCATTGTCTCCTTCGTCTCACTTCAGCCTAATGGTATCTCTCCTTGAATCTGATGGTCCTGCACGTGGCGAAGAGGTCAATCATGCCTCTGCACTGCTGGATTGGCTAGATTGAGGCCCTGCGTTGTCATTCATCGATGACTAGCGATCGTCGAGGTGACGGCACGGTCGGCCTCCCCATAGTCTGGCCGAGCAGCAGCTCCGATGCGTTGACTTCCCACGGTCGCATACACGACTAAACTTACGAGAACCTCTCCGATAATGTTCACCGTAAATCCGGAAGAGAACCGAGCGGTCTGGGTCCTCCAGATGGTGGGATTTGTGGAAACCTGTCCGAATCCGGGGTACCGACGACATGGCAGCCGCCCGAATCCGGCACCAGCTTCTCATCCCCAGAATTTCCCCAGATCCAGGTCGAGTCTAATTGTTGCACTTCCCGCCAGTTCATCCATGGGTCCAGAATTCGTGCTTGGGAATGGCTCACAGATTAGGTTGCCAATGGGCGGGAACAGAGTCTCGAAGGATTAAACGTTACTGATCGCCTGCGCACGGCTTTGTCGTCCACTTGGCCCCGACTGCATGTACTGTACGGAGTAGCATGCCTTTAGATTGGATGTGGGCAGACCCCTCGCCGCTAAATTGCCACTGCGAAGGAGAAATTGAACACTCTCAATCTCTTAAGCGAGACATAGTCAAAACATTCGTTTGTATGCTGCCGTAATCTCTGAATATACTGTAGCAGCCAACGAGAACACCCCAGGTCGTGATCGACCTTCGGAGCGGAGCGGAGCGTGCTTGCCTGAATACCGGAAAATAGTTGGGTATCTCCTTACATAGAACAGCCTGAGGTCCAGACCAGGCGCTCTTTCCAAGTGCTGAGTAACCCTCCACCAGGCACAAAGGGACCAAATTCAATCAATTCTAGGCACGACCGGCGAAGGGGGGTTGACTGTTCATTGTCGTAGCTCTCAGTCACCCACTGTTGTCTTCAACTCAAACACTTGAAATGTTGAGCGATGTTTTCAAAGAGACACGATTGGCGTCAAGCGCCACACAAGACCTGCTTGAGAGCCATTGAGCTCTAATACTCTTCGGCAAGCTTGGTCTTCAGGTGCGGGCAAAATGTTCAGATGTTGTTGCTTTTCAGGCCTGTAAATCATGCTCTGGCCACTTATTCAACTCGGTTTTGGTTCCACGCAGTAAGCATTCTAGGACCGTGATCGGCGCATCCGGAAATATCGTGTTCTCTTTGGCGTCGTGACATCGAAACCAAGCCCCTTTCCTGGCTCTCAAGCACGAAGCCTTGAAAGTCCCAACAGTGGTCGTGCGAATATTGAAAGGCATGTGTACAGTTGGCCGATCGCTTGAATCGTACCCCTTGAACATGGCAAACTTGCGAGTGTTCCTCGAAGCCTCGTTGGATGCCAAACACTTCAAGGCGTTTGCCAACAACAGTAGACGCGACCAACGACGATTCTCCGACTTCTGGTCCAGTGAGTCATATGAGATCATTTATCATGTGACAATGCTGACAGCGCTGTTCGTCCCAGATCCAGTCCCCAATTCAGCGCTTTAGATCATCGCCCTTGATCTGGGTATTACTCTTACATGTATGTAATCGATCATCTTCTGAGACAAGCGAGTGCACTCCCGTGTATAGTGAAAGCCATGAAGGCATAATACCGGTACGAGGCGAAGAGAAGCAGCACCTTTGCCGTGTGACTGGCCGATTGCCGAAATCCGAATACAGCAGATCACATGCTACTTGTGACGTTGGGTAACGAGACACCTTCGACAGTGCACATTGCATATCAACGATGAAGACCGCGAAATGAAGCGTTTTGTTATGGAGTGCGCGGAATGGACCACGTCAGACGAAGATGCTTCTAGGATCGATCGAAAAGGCCTTCTTTGGTTTGGATATGTGCTTAGGAGCTTGGGATCACTGTGAATTGGTGGAATGCATGAGTTAGTCCCAGTGGAATTCAGCAAACACTCTTTGCGTGACTTGAGGGAACTTACTAAGAGGCCCTCACTACCCTGACACGCGCATTCGACCATAGGCTCGACAACCGCGTCCAAATTGACGTCTTGGGGCTCTAGTAGTTTCTTGCTGTCTGTCTTCTCAGCCCGGTTTGTCGCTACAAGGCGGAAGCTGTCACCATCTCGAATGAAGATCTCTCGGGGCCCTAAACACCGCAGTGAGGCCGACCTGCCCAACCGGATAATAAGAATGCGTTAGTATACAGCCTGCATTATCACCCAGATCAGTCTGAACAGGCGAAAATAGACGTCGATAGGCGTGCGGCACAGGTTCGATCAGCCCAATTCGGAAGACTTTCCAATGCTGCTGGCTAAGAACGCCTGCATCGGACAACAAGTCGTGAGTCGCTGATAGTACTCCGTACAACATCAAGCACTTCGGCTACCACAATTAACCGGCTGTAACCATTGCGGACTGGAGTTTGACCGTGTTCACGTGGAAAGAGCAGCGCAGCTGAATGAGCCGTTGCCGGCTCAGAATCCCGGCAACGCGTCCTGTCGCCGACACTCGGCTGTCGTAATTGCCGGTCTTGGGCGCAGCCAAAGCCTCACAAGGCTACAATTAATCGAACACGAGTGAAGAGTTGGAGTTTCTCTGCCCTTGATTGTTTTGATTAGACTATGATGAAGAGGCTTGAAGGTGGCGTCAGAGCGCTGCTCGTCGGCACCAATCAGCCACGTCGACGGTATATAGATGACCAGGCCCAGCCAGGCCGCCAGGCTATGGTAAGCATAGCGCAACGGAAGAGGCTTCGGGTGGGCGTCGGACAAGCCTCCATAGACCGGCTCGTGCCGAACTGGACAACACCCGTGATTCATGACGATTGAGTGCTCGGGAGGAGTCGACAACCATATGATGGACCATCAGAGTAGTCTTCATGACAAGTCAAAGATATTCTTCGACAGGTGGAATAGAAATTATCCTCTGTCAGGCATGGGTAGCAGGGATCCGGCAGGAGTCAAGGAAGAGGGTCTACTCGACCGTCGGTTAAATGATGAGGGGAATCAGGACGAGTTCAACACGAAGAAGGAAAATCTCCGAGGCAGAAATGAACCGACTGGACTGGGCAGGAAACACGGCCTCCACCGAGACTGGGGAAAAACCACTGCCCCAGGCGGGTCTGATTCGTTCCCCAACCGAAATCCCCGGACCTCCGCATTCCCTGCCGATGATCTTTACTCTTTGAAGTCATCCACCCCCATGCAGGTCTCGCACCACCCTCCATCCGGGACACCTACAACACACTTGGAACTTATCATCTTCCCTGTCTTCTCGCCGCGGGTGACGCCATGACGTACGGCCCAATTGCCTGAGTCCGGGATGGACGTTACTTCGGCACTGGGTCGTGCATCGGTATATAAGTCCAGTCCGGGGCCCCCGAGTCGGCTCTCCGCATCCTTATCCCGGTTGCACTTCAGCTGGTCCGGTCTGGTTCATTGCTCACCATGTATCGCATTACAAACATCTACAGTATGGCCTTCTTCGAAATTGTCAATACTGTGCTTCGGAACTGACTTGTGCCTAGTCCTTGCCGCGTTAGGCACTATCGGTGGTGCATTGTTCGGCTTCGATGTTAGGTATGACCGCTCCCCTGGTCCGGAGAAATGACCGACATTGACCGAATGTAATAGTTCCATGAGTGCCTGGATTGGCACCGACCAATATTTAGACTATTTCAATCATCCAGACAGCAACTTGCAAGGAGGTGTAGGTCTTCTCTGAACAGGCCGAACACGTATGGGTTACGCTGACGATCCTTTTGCTAGATCACTGCTTCCATGTCCGCTGGGTCTTTCGCCGGTGCACTCGCAGCAGGTTTCCTTTCAGATCGCCTTGGCCGTCGCTACTCTCTCGTTATCGCTTGTTGCATTTGGATTGTCGGAGCAGCTATCCAATGTTCAGCTCAAAACGTTGCACACCTAGTCGTTGGTCGGGTTATCAGTGGGTTGGCTGGTGAGCACCCTCTCTCCTGGCCACAGGTACTCTATGCTAACCGTCTCCAGTCGGTATCACTTCCTCTCAAGTCTGTGTCTATCTCGCTGAGCTGGCGCCTGCACGCATCCGAGGCCGGATTGTGGGTATCCAGCAATGGGCCATTGAATGGGGTATCCTGATCATGTACCTGATCTCATACGGCTGCGGCCAGGGTATTTCTGGTCCGGCTTCCTTCCGCGTGGCTTGGGGTATCCAAGGGGTTCCTGCATTGATCCTTCTTGTCGCCCTGCCTTTCTTCCCCGAATCGCCCCGTTGGTTGGCCAGCAAGGAACGGTGGGAAGAGGCTTTAGACACATTGGCCGCGATCCATGGCAAAGGAAACCGCAGTGATCCCGTTGTCCAGGCTGAGTATGAGGAGGTGCAAGAGGCCGTGCGGGTTGCCCAGGAGGCTAAGGACGTGTCATTCTTGGCCCTTTTCGGCCCGAAGATCTGGAAGCGGACTGTTTGTGGTGTGAGTGCGCAGGTCTGGCAGCAATTGCTCGGAGGCAACGTTGCTATGTACTATGTCGTCTATGTCTTTGACATGGCAGGAATGGTAAGAATTGATGCCGATTGTTGGTGAATTCCGAACTAACTCAAACAACAGACCGGCAACACCACACTGTACTCATCAGCCATCCAATATGTGATCTTCCTGGTGACGACCGGTGTCATTCTGCCATACATCGATCGGATTGGTCGACGACCTCTTTTGATGACCGGTTCCATCCTGTGTATGGCCCTCCATTTTGCAATTGCGGGTATCATGGCCAGCTACGGTCACCACGTCGATTCAGTGGATGGCAACTCGAATCTGAAGTGGTCGATTACCGGTACCCCTGGCAAGGGTGTCATCGCTTGTTCGTACATCTTCGTTGGTATCTATGGTCTCACTTGGGTAAGTTGACAACCTATTGTAAATGCTGAACCATTCTCACAATGAATAGGCCCCTGCTGGATGGATTTACGCCTCAGAAGTGTTCCCCCTCAAATACCGCGCCAAGGGCGTCGGATTGTCGGCTGCGGGTAACTGGATCTTCAACTTCGCGCTAGCCTACTTTGTGTCGCCGGCCTTCACGAACATCCAGTGGAAGACGTATATCATTTTCGGCGTCTTCTGCACGGTCATGACCATCCACATCTTCTTCACCTTCCCGGAGACAGCTGGTCGTTCTTTGGAGGATATCGACTTAATGTTCGAGGCCAACTTGCCGGCGTGGAAGACTTCGCGGCTGCCCGACCGATTCGGCGACGAGATTGAGCGTCAACGACAGAAGACCGGTGGGGCAGAGGCAGGGGAGAAAGGAGTGGAGACGGCGCATGATGAGATGGTCTAAGCGGGGGAGATGCCCTGATGAGCTAGACTTGTTAGAATAGATCAAGACATGTACCTAGCGCGAATCAGAAATGTCGCCGTACCTCATCCTGATGCAGGAGACTGTTTCCTCCCTGTCACTCACCGCCGCCGGTGTGCGCATGACATCATCGCAGTGGTTGACCGATGTCTTGGCTCGAAAAAAGAGTAACAATCATGGGTGTAGCGATATTGGAGGGCAACAAGGATAGCATATCCGCAGCTTGGTTGCTTGAAACATGATCAATCAGCTTGCCGGTACTTTGCGTGCGCGCAGACAATTTGTTGTGCTGAGCTGTAATACTCGCTGGGTGTACAGTTTGCCTGTCCGCCATGATACGTGGAGAAATATTTGGCCTAGCTCGCGTAACCGCGACTAGACCCTTTCCGGGCATTCCGTCTCCGACCTGCTGCCTCAGGCCTCCCGCCGCCCGCGGCGTCCCGACAATGCCCAGTGCAGTGCGTCCGCAATGCAACTCAAGCTGAAGAATACAGGGCAATGCGGGCCGTCTTCCTCTTTTCTCAATATACTCAGTACCTAGTACTTACCCCTTGCTTCTGGTTCTCTTATTGACCTCGGTAACCGTTTCGCTATTTAGCTTGATGGGATGCCGCGTCCTGTCCATTGTCAATATATATGTTGTCGGTGTATGACGCGGTTGCAGCTGGGAAAGCGCAGGGCCACAATATGCAAGTGTACTGCAAATACAATGCATTCGAGGTTCTTGCCGACCGCTCCAGTTTGAAAGAGATCATCTTGCAATCCCACATGATCTCTTGGATTGGCAAAAAATCGATAAAATCGCAAATCGCAGATAGCAGTGGCCGGACCCTTGGATTTTGCTGTCCAGGAAGGGTAGTGGGGCCCGCGATGGAAGGAAGTAGGAGAGTCTTTAACTCAATTAACCTCCGTCCGTGATGTCACTGGCCAGTAATCCGATGAGGACTTCAGGCCTGCGATGGCGAACACCAGATGACCCTCTCCATCAATGCACATGTTATCGAGAGAAGTCTGCTTTCCTTGCCTTAACTGACTCAAGAGGAATTCCTTCCACCTCTTCCACCTCACTCACGAGTACTCACTCCTCTTGAGTGCTCCCACTTTCCCACTGCTGCGAGAGTCCCACATGCCCCACATCTCCCACTTGGATGCTGAATGACTTCTTACTTCAGCCCTCTCGACCCCGGCTTTCTTCAGCCTGGATTTAACTCTGCTCCGAGTCAGAATTCTCACCCTCAAAGTGGTCAAGTCAACATTATCATACTTGACAGAGTCGTCCTATTTAGAATCAGCGCGCGCCATCCAAAATAGCTTCAATTTGCCTCGCGGATCTGACATCGGGAAACGATCCCGCCTCGCTGCCTGATATTCCAGGCCGCAAGATGTCGCTGTCGAGCTCGACCAAGCACTCCATCAACGGAGATAGTGAAGATGAACGTCCACAGGACTCCGACCTCACGCGGACCGAATCCATGCGCTCGGCTGCAGACCACTGGAATCCACTTCATGAGCTCATCTTCGTGCTAGTGGTGTGCATGGCACAGTTCATGACCCAAGCCGCGCTGGGGGTATGTCTTGCACCGCTGGACATTATCGGCGACGGGCTCAACATCACGCAGCCGGGTATTCTGAGCTGGCTGATCGCAGGCTACTCGCTCACTGTCGGCACCTTCATCCTCTTCTTTGGCCGACTGGGTGATCTTTTCGGGTACCGCCTTATGTTTATCATCGGCTTCCTCTGGTTCGCGCTCTGGTCCATGGTCGCCGGCGTGAGTGTCTACTCCAACTACATCCTCTTCATCTTCGCACGTACCCTTCAAGGCCTGGGCCCTGCCATGCTGCTTCCCAATGGCTTGGCCATTCTAGGCGCCACCTACCGCCCCGGCAAGAAGAAGCACATGGTTTTCGCCCTGTTCGGCGCCATGGCCCCCAACGGCTCCGTCATCGGCGCCATTTTCGCCGCCGTCTTCGCCCAACTCGCCTGGTGGCCGTGGATCTGGTGGTCGATGGCCATCTGGTGCTTCGTGCTTGCCATCCTGGGCATCTACGCCATTCCGCCGGAGCCCACCGATCCACGCATCCGCACCCTCTCCCTCCACGCCCTCTGCGCCGAAATGGACCTCATCGGCGCGACCCTGGGCGTCACAGGCCTCGTCCTCGTCAATATCGCCTGGAATCAAGCCCCTGTCGTCGGCTGGGAGCAGCCCTACGTATACATCTTGCTGATCATCGGCCTGTTGATCATTGCAGGATTCTTCATCTGGGAGATCCGCTTCTCAAGCAACCCGCTCATCCCGTTCCACGCCCTGAATGTGGACGTCTCGTTTATTCTGGGGTGCATTGCCTGCGGCTGGGCCAGCTTCGGCATTTGGATCTACTATTTCTGGCGATTTTTGGAGGACATCCGCGGGGTACACCCCATTCTTGCGTCCGTGCAATTTCTCCCGCCCACAGTTATGGGGATTATTGCCGCATTCTCGACGGGCCACCTGCTGAGTCGCCTGCACCCGGGGTGGATCATGGTCATGGCGATGGTGGCGTTCACTCTGGGCAATGTATTCTCAGCTATTATGCCCGTGCATCAGACGTACTGGGCGCTCTCGTTCGTCACGCTCATCGTCATCCCCTTCGGGATGGACATGTCCTTCCCTGCTGCGACGGTGGTGCTGAGCGACGCCGTGGGCCGGGAGCATCAGGGCGTTGCGGCGTCACTGGTGTGCACGATTGTGAATTACAGTATCTCGTTAGGTCTGGGATTTGCGGGAACCGTTGAGGTGCATGTCAACCACGGCGGGAAAACGTTCCATGACACGTTGGTAGGGTATCGCGGCGCATTTTATATGGGGATCGGACTAGGCGGGTTGGGCCTGCTGACGAGTATCGTGTATGTACTTCACACTCTGCAGAAGGGGCGGCGCAGTGGGAAGGGGGTGGAAGATGCTTAATCCTTCTTTCGTATCTTCATTCTTTTCTCGCAACCCTTCGGATTATTGCAGCTTAAAAGTATACATACAAACTGGGATATAGGATAGAGACATAATAGACTCATTTCACTTAATCAATCCCACTGTCAGGCATTGAAGTGTGGATAAGTATTCCCCTACTACCACGAAAATCCTCTCCGATGATGTCTTTGTAGCGACCGTTTCTGAGGAGACATGGTAAGCAAGGCTCGGACTCCATGATCTTCGTCCGTCTGAATCTGGCGTGCCGAATGATAGCAGGACCGGCACCAGAGGCGGTAGAATCCGTGGTAGAGCTGTTGAATTGGGAGGTAGTACATGCGTACACTAGGCCAGATCAGCACTTTGACAATCTCTGCTGCATAAAAGTTCGATGTAAGCTATTCAAAGGGAGAGAGAAGCCAGCCTGTCATTGATCATTCGTGTAGACAAATGTAAGGCAGCGAGGGTATCCTTGATAGACCTTCATAGGGCCGACTCGGGGGCTCTCGTTTTTACTTGTCGACCTCCCATTCGCTAGGTTGAATTATCTCGTGGCGATCAATCAGAATTGCACGAGGCTGGACGATGGCTATCAGAATCATTGCAGAGAGGAAAGCGAATCATCTGACTGATTGTTTTCGTAGCCCATCATTCTGCTGATGATGGCGGATCTCGTTGTTGCCCGTGCAATGGGTATGTTTAAGGACTCATCATAGCGGTCAGATCAAGTCCCTGCTCGTGATCGGGTATTCACTTCAGCCATCATCATAAAGCTTGCTCCCGCGGACACGCGGGGCATCATTCTTTCTTATACAACAGGCACTCACATAGAGATCATCATAGCGCTTGAACTCGCCGACACGCGAGACCTCTTTCTGATGCTTGTGTACCGGCTAATCCAGCAAAAGATCATCATGGCGCTTGATCCCGCCGACACGCGGGAAAAGCTCTTCCTGGTGGACCGGCTGTTTGCTCGAATAGTTCTCATGGTGCTCCTTGCTCTTACTCGTGGATCAGATCAACAATCGTCATGGCGCGTGGTCCCGCAGACACGCGGGTCCTTGTTCTTGCTTCTGGACCCGGCTGATCGCTCAAACAATTCTCATTGGTCCTTGAACCCGCCGACATGCGGGAACCTATTGCTCCTCCTAGATTGGATACTTCTTGATCTGCTGATCCCGTTTCACTCGTTTGCCTTTCTTCCATTTGGGTCCGAAGATCTCGGGGCGGTAGGTAAACACCCCAGGCAGAGAGAAGCCCCTCAGCCCAAAGGCATATTGGGCGGACCGGAGTCCATGCCTTACAAGAATGTCTATATCGCCCGAGCAGACACTCCCTGGACCTGGTCTCTGCCTCCCGCGAACCACACTAAACAAGTGGTCATGGTGAGAGCAATTCATCATTTCATCCACCTGTTTTTTTGACTTGGGAGGGTGGTTGGTCAACCATGCACACCCTGGACAGCTAGAAGCCCCTCAGCCTGAAGGCAGTGGGAGGACCGGAGTCCGTGCCTCACAAGTCATCCACCGCGTACGCAGACCCTCCGTTGCCCTGGTCAAATAGTCCCATGGCATCACTCTGAAACGAGTGATCAAATTCAGCCTTTCTTTCTCTTGTATCCTCGGCTTTTCCGGGGCGGATGGCGAGTCTTGCACACCCCCGATAGCAAGAAGCCCCTCAACCCAAAGGCCTGTTGGGAGGACCGAAGTCCGTGCTCCAATCATGCTGTTCACCACGGGAGTAGTCCCCTCCTGGGCCTGGTTGCCTCCCGTGGCCGCGTTCCTGCCGAAGAAACCAGTAAACACAGTGAAGTAAGGCTAAGTGTAACCAACTTCAGTACTTGTACAATGATAACGCAATAGGCAGACTTGGAATAGCTGTAGTGGGTGCTGTGCTCGTGACTATTCGGTAGATAGGGGACCCCTAGAATTGTTCCACAAGGCATTCTGTCAGCCGCCGAGTTCAATTTGAGGCTCGGATGTCACGAGAACCAGAGACACTAGAAGTGTGATTGTACATACGTGAATTTGCTCCGATCGTAATGCGGCCCACTTGAGAAGTTCAAGTCGCGCCCCTTTGACAAATAAACCATGGACTCAGAACGACGGATCTGGAGGACGTTATCGAGCCGGTGTGGTGCGAAAATGACCGTACCTAAAGCTGCGGGAGCTGAAAAGATCCGTTGTCAGCAACTTCTAGTAAGACAGCGCAAAGAATGTAAGATTATGGGACGATGAGCGGACTCATGAGCATACAGGAATCGCTTTTCTCAACAGATGCCTCTATTAATGGAAGCATTGATTGTAAAAATGGCTCAACAGGTTGAATGGTGCGTTTGGCAAACAAGAACGCCAGGACATGAAGAGAAGGTAGGTTGAATCAGGAAAGGTTATGCGAAAGCCAAGGTGGGAGAAAGAGAAAGTGGAAGGAAGAGAATGAAGCCTGGAGGACATACCTTACATGGACTATCGAGACTAATCATGAGACAAGGTAACTTTGTGATGGAAGTGGATCAGCCAGTCTGATATGACGTGTTGAGCAGCCTTTTACCTTGTACATCGATCTGGCAACTGACATGGGTTGAGCAAAGGACCTCTGCATGGCTAACTGGTCAATGTGACACACTCTCTTAAATACTTGGACACAGCTGAATAGTGAATTTAGCGGCAAGAAAGGATTTGATTTGTGCTTGAAAATCACTGGGGCTGGAAGTGGAGGGGACTCGACGGGATGCTCACATGGTTCGGATCGCGTACAGGTGTAGAGACAGGCCGGTTGTGATTCAGATTCGAGCATCAGGACCCTGTGTCTTTAGCTCAAGCACGCGTTAGTCACTATCTCAAGACGGTGATGTTTTCGAGAACGATATGATGCTCAAAGTGAGAAGAGGCCGATGGTCACTTAGCTGCACGGCTGTCTTCGTCGCGCTGTAGGATTTGATGAATCGAGGTCTTGGTCGCAGGTCGGAGATTTCAAAGCTGATGTAGAACTCAATGGGGATCCGATAAATTGAAAAAAGATGGGATGAAGATGGGAGAGAAGAGAGTAGTGGAGAGTGGAGGTGTGAGAATCCGCAAGTAGTGAGAGGTTGCGGACTGCCTCAGTAGCGACATATAGAAGAAGTCGGGGCGGTGAGCAATATGCCACACTCAGGACCTCACCAGGATGGACTTGGCGACATCGTTGATCAATAGCAATGGGAGCGATTGGGTTGGGGTGGAGCAGTTTGGTCAAGTATTATACATTGAAGTGTTCAAATAGAGTTCAGGTGCTCATAACCATGGAATCTACTCGGAATAGCAACCAGCGGCAGATGCGCTGCCACTACAATCGAGATCGTGACTATCTGGAGAATGACGAATCTTAAGAGGTGGCATGTGCTCTCCATGAAGCTCATACGACTGTTCAGATACTACGGTAATGCACCCAAGTACGAAAAATAGAGCAGTGGAAGTCGAGAGCATCAACCGCGCTTGACGCCAGACGATGCGACCGCCGCGGGGAATTGGGCTCCGCAACCTAGTCAGGAGTCGAGTTCAGGGACCGCCCAATCAGACTGACAAGGCGCAAAAGGATGACGGGGCAGCCTTTCCAGTTCCGTGGGATATCCACTGTTGTGATGTTGTTCACCTGGCAGACCAGAGCCGAGGCAGTGCTGCTTCGAGCGAATTTTGGATTCAAGCGCGCCAGGACTACGTACTATCAATGAGGCGGGGGCAGTGCTCTTATCGGCGTTTCCCAGAGAGGGGCAAGAAAAAGCAGGGAAGCAGCCCCTCTCATGCGGTGCATATCGTGGAATTATGCCACGCGATCGCTTGCTTGGTTGGTCGCATTACTGGATGACTACACCCAGCATCCATGGAGCAAGCCTCACAAGACGAGCCACATCGACAGGGACAAAACAACATAGGCAGCAAGTTGGCCGAGGCGAGGTTCCCCGGGGTAATGATCGGCAGCCACCTTGACGGATATGATAGGCCCAGCGCAGCCAAGCCAGATCACCACATCCGCCTAATGCGGCCCGGCGGTTTTGGTGCATCTCCAGACATCCCGAGTCCCCTCCAACTCATGCCTCCTAACAGGCCGCCTGCTGGTCCTTGCCCTGCTGTTTCAACTTGCCCGTGTTTCAGAGTATAGGAAAGGGATTGGTTGTGGTCTTCTAGGCTTGTATCATCACCATAGACTCGTTGGTGCCTCGAAAGTTGTCTTCCTGGAAGTGTGGCCATTCCACCATCGTCGGTCTTCTTCATGTTGGGCTGAAGTGGCGGTGAATCTATGGCTTCACTTTTGACAACCGACGGGGAAAAGAACCAACCACTCACTTCACTACCTGTCGCCTTGTCATAGGTCTCCAACTCAGTGCTATCGACGATGACCTGCCTGGCTTCACCTCGGCGATTTTCGCTGGGCAGCGAATGTCGGCCAGAGTATAATAACCATGATCCACGGCCAACAATCCCCAGACTTAATTCTCCTACACACACCTGACTGACTGTTGAAAGATCCGAACTTGTGATTCTTTAACACTCTCCATATGCTTCCAATCGTTGTGAAGCTGCTATCACCCCTACTCAAACCTTTGCGCAGCATGGACTGCTCGATGACTCGCCCATCGGCGACATCTCGATTTCCTTTCTTCCCCTTCTCGCTATGGTCGAAGAAGCCACAGCAATCAGTATCGACACAAACTCAGACACAGACACACACACAAACCCCGCAATCAGCTAAGATGCGACCGCAGCTTCAGATCCAAACATCAACACCGACACAAACCCGGCTTCCACCCTCCCCGCCCGAAACACCCGTCATGGTCGAACATCCTCAACAAACCGCCGAGGAGCTGGCGGAGCGCGACCACCAAGATCGCGAAACTGCGCGACAGGAGGCTCTTGATGAGCTGGACAGCCTTGTCGGCCACGAGAACGTGAAGCGCCAGTTGCGCGGTGTGCAGACTTGGGTGCAGATCTGTCGGCGACACGGTCGCGACCCCAAGAATGAGTGGTACAACATGGCCTGTGTGGGTAATCCAGGCACGGGTAAGTTATCTCTTGTTATCTGACTGAGTCGTTCGAATTGTCACTGACCTTTCTAGGCAAAACTACCGTCGCACGCATCTACGCAAAGATGCTCTATGCTCTTGGCATCTGCGATTCACAGGCTGTCTGTGAGACGACTGGACTCGACCTCGCCAGCCAAGGACCGGACGGGGTCAAGCAGATGATCAACCGTATAGCTGATGTGGACTCTTTGGCCCACACAGGGGGTGTTCTCATCGTCGACCAACCACACATGCTGGGAGAGTCTATCTCGTCCCAAGCAACAGAGCAGATTCTCACAAGTGTCTTGCAGGCTCTCGAGCGCAAGACAGGCCGCATAGTGGTGATCTTCTCTGGCGAGGAGACGTCACTAACGACCTTCCTGCGCGATCATCCGCGCCTGCAGCAACGTATCTGCAGCACACTGCGATTCTATGACTTTGATCGTAGCGACCTCGCTCAACTTCTCGCCCGTCGCATTGTGATTGAATACCAGGGCCGCATGCAGGTTGAAGGCGGTCTCGAGGGCCCTTACGTTCAGGCTGCAGCTCGAAGACTGGCGCGCGGGCGCGCCGTGTCGGGCTTCACGAACGCCCACGCCGTCCGTGAGCTAGTCAAGACGGTCGCGCAGCGCCAGGCTCACTGCCTAGCGGATCAGCAAGACAGTGGCATGGATGAAGTAGATTATTTCTTCTTCTCAAAGGACGATCTGCTAGGCCCACGACCAGAGCAAACACGCGCCCACAGCGAGGCATGGGCGGTTATGCAGAAGTTGGTCGGTCAGGACTCCCTGCAGATGTCGATCACCGAGGTGTTTGATATCACAGAGGAGAACTACCACCGGGAGGTTCGCAACCAGCGTCGTTTGCCTCTTAGGGTGAATCGCATCTTTGCCGGGCCACCTGGCACTGGAAAGAGCACGGCGGTTCGGTTGTATGCGCAGATACTCCTCGAGTTGGGGCTGTTGACAAACGGAGAGGGTAAGTCAATCTTCTTGATGATAACAATATGTACTAACATGTCACAGTTCGGGTCAAACCTTGGTCAGCTCTCTCGCAACTCGATGCGGACAGTATCCGCACTCTTGTCGAGAGCAACAACGGGAATGTCCTTGTCGTCGACATCGATGCCGACCGTCAGGAGCTGTCTCAGAGTCAGACTGCGCTGGACGCGACTGCCCTGGAGGACCTGTGGATCCCACGAGACAACCACTGCACCGTTGTGGTCGGCGCACACGATGCTGTCAGCCACGTCCTGCATCAGACCGGATCGCACTCACGTCTGAGTCGCGCTCTTGACAATCAGCTTGTGCGCTTCGCACCCCTTACACGCGACCACCTAGAGGAGCTCTTCCATAGCAAGCTCCGCGAGCAGGACTTAGATGTCACCCCCGACGCCTTTCAAGCCGCTTTGGACATGCTCGACACGGCTCGTATGCGCCAGGACTTTGACCACGCCCGTGCCGTCGAACATCTTCTGGCAGCGGCGCAGTATCACTTCGAGCGACGAACCCGCGTCGGTGCGAAGGGCGAGTCAATTCCTCGTATACTTGAGGGAAGAGACTTCAACCCCGAGCTGGTCGGCGGCACACCCGCCTTGGGCTTCCGCGAGGAGCTACGCCATTCCATCGTCCCTGACGACATCATTTCGATCCTGAAGCGGTATCATCATGAGATGAAGATCGCCTGGATGCAAGGGCTGAACCCAGGCAAGCGGACGCCTTGCGGATTTGTGTTCAAGGGAGCATCTGGTGAGTTTCCTACCTATTATTGATTGGATGTGAATGCTGACAATGCTTGAAGGCACAGGGAAGAAGACTGTCGCCCGCGAGCTTGGCACCCTCTACTACAAAATGGGGGTGTTGTCTCATGGTGAGCTGGTGCCCTGTTCGATTGCCGATCTGCTCGCTCCGCACATGTATCCCACTGCAATTCGCGCAAGGGCCCAACTCGACCGTAGTCGCGGTCGGGTTCTGTTTATCGAGGATGCGCATCGCTTGGGCGAGGTGGAGGGACCCACAAAGCATGCGGTGGATGAGTTCGTCTACCAACTTCCTCAGTATCTGGATCAGACCGTGGTGATTCTGGCTGGACCCGCCCAGGAGATGGACCAGATGCTCGCCAATCGACCTCGGTTGGCAGCACTGTTTCAAGAGGAAATTATTTTCCGCAACCCGACCCCCAGAGAGTGTCTGCGACTGCTGGATCGACGGTTGACGGAGCAGAAGGTCCCCGGACCTCGACTCTACTTGACCGACCCTCGCACCCCGAGCCATCGTGAATTCACCCGTGCCATCCAGATCCTTTCGATGTTCCCGTGTTGGAGCAATGCGCGGGACATTGAGGTTCTGGCTCGCTGGATGGTGGCCGCGTGTGTCAAGGACGTTTCGTTGGAGGGGGTTGGTGACAAAGAGCTGGACAAGATCCAGTTGAGTGAGGAGCAGGCAATGGGAGCTATGGTCAAGTTGTTCAGCTTGAAGAGAGATCGACTCCGATTCAACCAGGACCCCAAAGCCAGAGCTCTGCCTCGAATCTTGTCCCAGCCACGGTTGACTGATCGGACGGGAGTGAAATTTCCCGTCTAGAGAGCGAGAATGTGGAAAGGGGGGATGTGGCGGCCTCAGGCTGTCAGGCATGAAGGCACGAAGAACGGGCGCCGCGACTCTTGGAGCTTCCGGATCGGGAAACCATAACCACTCCGGCGCCCGGCGGGACTCGGGATGGAACTGTACAGTATGGTCACGGTCGCTACCGGACAATGGTCGCTCCTTACCTATCTTTCCTTTGTTTAATCTCTTATGTCTTGTTTTGTTTTGACATCTCTTTTGTATGACGGTCTCCTTGATGGATGACCTGGTTTGATACACGCAGTTGAATACTGGCATATAATATAGGCCTTTGTGCATCATCTTCATCATTGACTTGAAATCAATATGGTTCAACTCTGAAAACCTCTTGTCTATACTCACTATGCTCATAACTCTTCGAAGCATGAGCATTGAATTCTTGCTATTCACTATCTAGTTCGAATGTATATTCTCAACATTGTCACAGTGACCTATACTCAAAGCCTTGCTTCGCGGATATCCGTCTCTTTCTCACCAAAACTCCAATACCGATCCACCTACTTCCGTCAGTTTTACATCTTGGTGGTCCAATGACTACTCACATCTGCAATATGATCATAGCCCAGCAGCTTCGGGGCCAAGCCGGGGTCTCTCCACGCCAAAGCCTCGCCCTCCGGGGTGGGCACCATTCGCATCTTGCGGTCGCGTTCCTCCTGCTCCGGTCCATCGTCCAAGTGATACAGATACTGCTGTACGTTTCCCCTCTCCACTACCATTTTTGTTCTTTGTTTGCGACATTTCTCAAACACGGCCAACGCATGGCGTTTCGCTTCTAGGAATGCGGGGGAGGATTTATCGATCGAAGGGTCTGAGGGCAGACGCGAGAGACACTCTCCAAGCACAGCACCGTCTTCAAACGCCATTCCAGCTCTGGACTCGTTAGCATTGTCTTCACATCGTGGGAGGTGACGTACCCTGACGCAAGGTAAGGCAGTGTGGCATGCACTGCATCCCCAAGCATGATCCATGAACCCGAAGGATGGGTCCAGTCGCAGTCACCGAATCGAATACACAGGCGCCATTTCTGAACAGATTGGCATAGTTTGAGGAGTTTTTGGATTCTGTTCCTTAGTACTAGTTCGCTTTGTTGGCGGACCGAAACAGCTCACCTCGGATCCCACCCTTCGAACAGACCACACATTTCCTCCACGTTTCCTTCGACCGTGGTGACCAGCGATTCTTCGGGGATATCATCCGGTACGAGGAGGACCATGTTGAACAGTTCACCTTGGCGGAGGACGTAGTTGACTGTTTGATCGTCAGTCGACTGACTAGGTAGGCTTTTCCTCAAGAAGCTGAAGAACCAACTGCACAGAGACATATACCTGCATGTTTTCCTGGTCCCAACCAATAGTTCACCTGAGGATTGACAACAAAGTCCCTCAGCTCTTCATCCTGTAGCATCTTCTCCGTATCCAACAGCAAGCGATAGGCGAGGTCCCCTGTCTTGACGGGTGGGTCATGTCGCTGCAGCATTTTCTCGCTCAGGGTCCCAAATACTCCATCGGCGCTGATCACCAAATCCCCGATCCATTCTCGTCCGTCTACTGCAATGACGGTGGCAGTGTTTCCCCAGCCTTCTGAGTTACCGGTAGAGACAACCTCGGGCACAACATCGACTACCCTCGCCCCGCAAGTGACTTTCACCCCGAGTTCCTCCGCTCTCTCTAACAAACATCGCTGCAAATCTGCGCGGTGAAAATCACGATACCACGTCCCGGGATACTGCGATTCGGAGGCGTGGAAGTCAAGGCTGCTGATAATCTCGCCCTTCCAGTGGAGAAAGTTGCAGACGCGGGGAGAGGTCATGTGCGGGGTGAGACGGGGGAGGAGACCCCAGTGTGTGAGCACCCGGGAGCTGTTGGGCAGAACTTGGATGCCAGCACCGACTTCTCGGATTGATGAGGTCGCTTCCAGGATGTGTACCTTATGTCCAGCAAGAGCACCCGCAATGGCGGTGCCTAGTCCGGCGAGACCGGCACCGATGACGATGATCTGGAACCGGGATTGAATCAGCCATCACAATCGGGAATGGGATGGGATCGCGGGGGGGACTGTGTTACGTTAAGACAACATGTCTCCGGGCGAGTCTGTGGTTCTTTGACATGAATGGGAGGGGCCATGTTGGATTGGTCTCTTGTGTAAGTTAGGAAAGATTGCTCGTGCACTTTGGGTCAGAAGTGCGACAATTATACCATGGCCAAACGTGGTGAAGGTGGAGGTGACAAGAATGGGGGTGAAGTTGAATTGACGACGGATCAACTTATCTTATCGAGCCTATTTATAACAACCTTAACCACAATCTACCTCCAGGTCAACCACAGCTCAACCGGTTGGATCATACAATCCCTACACCATTCATCATCATTATCATCATGTCTCGAGTACGTTGACTTCAAGATTCCCTGAACTCAGGCTAAGTTGTCAGTTTTCACTTCAAGGTCGAACTGCATTGGTTACTGGCGGCGCACGCGGGTGTGGTCTGGCATTTGCACGCGGTCTGGCCGAAGCCGGTGCCAATGTGGCCATCTTTGACGTGATCCCCCCCGAAGCAGAGTTCGAAGCTATCGCGACCGAGTGCGGCGTGCGTACTGCCTACTACAAGTATACACTCTATCTTGGACTGCAAGAATTGTCCATCGCTGACTTCCTAGGGTGGATGTTGCCTCGGAAGAATCCCTCGATGCCGGCTTTGGAGCCTTCCAAACCGACTTCGATAACGCTCTCGACATCTGTGTTCCTTGCGCTGGTATTAACCGTCACCAACCCTTCCTAGAGTTCACATACGCGGACCACGCCGCTCTCCTCGGAGTCAACGTGTTGGGCGTGCACATGACGGCCCAACGCGCGGCAAGGCAGATGATCGCCAATGGGACACAAAAGGGCAGTATTGTCTTGGTGGCCAGCATGGCCAGCCACATTGCCGTGCGGTCGCAACTGTGCAGCGCTTATTGTGGTACCAAGGGGGCCGTGAGGGCGATGTGTCCAGCAATCGCCAAGGAGTTGGCCCAATATGTGCGTGTCTGCTGCAGGGCTGCCAGGATGGGCGAGCGCTGACGATGACAGAACATCCGAGTTAATTCGATTTCACCAGGATATGTTCGCACGGAAATGACGGCTGCTGTAGGTGGGATCTCCGATAAGATAGCGACGAAGCTAACCGTGGCAGTTCCCCCACCTGGTCGAAGAGTGGAAACGCGATGCGATGAACGGTCGCCTGGCCGAGCCGGAGGATATCATGGGCGCGTGTGTGTTCCTGGCTAGTGATGCTAGCTCGTATATGACTGGGAGTGATATTGTGGTGGATGGTGGTGTGACAAAATGGTAGTGGTTGAAGCAGAGTTGATTGTGATAGCTACTGTACTGTACTCGATAGCAAGCTAGCTACGACTGCGAGCTAAGATAGTGGGTCGGACTGTGCTTATCGCGGTCGCAAGCAATAACAAAGGTGGGGGTGGGGGTCGGGCTTCGTCCCGAATCTCCAACAATACTCCGCAACCAACTCGAATCAGTTCGATTAAATATACTCGGTGTTCAGCTTGAAATATTCTCGATCACAATAGCATCTTTGAATAGCGACACGATGACTCCTCCAGAATCAACCACGGTGGTGATAGTCGGGGCTGGTCCCTCTGGCTTGATGCTGGCGTAAGTCCCCCTCTTTCTTTTCGCCCCCGCTTTCCCCTCATACACTCTCCACATTTTCGCTCCAGCCGCATCCTAACAACACGCAGGTGCAATCTTCTTCGCTACGGTACTCCTGTTCTTCTTCTCGATGACCGTCCCGATCAGACCTCGACGGGCAAAGCAGACGGTTTGCAGCCGAAGACCATCGAAACGCTGAAACAGCTCCGTCTTGCCGACCCGTTACTACGCCATGGTGCCAAAGTCTACGACATCTCGTTCTGGGTACTTTCCTCCATTATATTCACACTCGCGTCCTTGTCCTGTTATCATTACTTTCTAGTTATACACAATTACTAACTCCTCCCTCACGCAGGACTCCACCCCCACGCAACCCGTCCGTCGCACCGGTCGCAAAATCCACTACCCCGACCACCTAGTCGGAGCCCCCGATCCCTACATTCTGCTAGCCCACCAGGGCATGCTGGAGGATGTTTTCATCAAAGACATTGAAAGCCGAGGGGGATCAGTCTCGCGGAACAGCGAATTCGTGGAAGTGCAGAAAGACGAGGCGGGCGACCTCGAAGTCACATACAAAGATCTGACCACGGGGGACAAGCGCATCGTCTACGCAAAGTATCTTGTTGGGTGTGATGGCGCCCGGTCGAAAGTGCGGGACTTCATTCCCGATGCGCAGTTGGAGGGCGAGAAGACGAATGCTTCGTGGGGGGTGCTGGATGGTATGTTTGAGCTCTTCCTGGAATTCAATCAGTCTCAAGCTTCGCCTTGAGAGCTTTGATCTACTGTCTGCGCCAATTGGGATTCACTGACGCTGACTGGGCTGCTGTTATCGACAGGTGAAATTGACACCACATTCCCCGATCTCTGGAGCAAAGTCGCCGTCCGTTCTCACACAGCTGGGTCGATCCTCTGGATTCCGCGCGAACGCAACATGACTCGACTATACGTGGAGCTGAGCTCCACCGATGGTGAGCGTGTGCCAAAGTCCATGGCTACACCAGAGTATGTCATGGCTCGGGCGCGGGAAGCCATGAAGCCCTTCCCGCTCGAGTGGAAGAGCATTGGTATGTTGTTGCATTGCGCTGGGCGACGACGAAACTGACCGCGGTGTAGAATGGTTTGGCAACTATATCGTCAACCAGCGTGTCGCGCGCAATTTCTCCAATCCTGACAATCGCATCTTTATTGCAGGTGATGTATGTCTCCCATTCCTTATACAGTCAACATGTACTGAGACAGATTCTAGGCTGGTCACGTCCACTCCGCACTCGCCGCCCAAGGCGCCAACACCAGCATGCACGACTCTCTTAACCTCGCCTGGAAGATGAATCTCCATTCCCGCGGTCTTGCTACGAATAACCTTCTGTCCAGCTACTCCACTGAACGTCGAAAGATCGCCAACGACCTGATTGCTTTCGATGCCAGCCACGTGGCGGCCTTTGAGCAGGGCGAGGCTGCTCTTGCCCGCAACTTCGATGAGAACATTCGATTTATCGCAGGGTTCGGGGCGGAATACCTTCCAGGGGAACTGCTCACGAGAAGATGTGAGGACACACAATTACGAAACGGACACACTGGCTCAGGTTTAGGAAGGGTGAAACCCGGCTCCCTCCTCCCACCTTCGCTCGTGACGAGGTACATCGATGCGAACCCCGTGCCAGTGCAGCTAGATATTCCTCTCCTCGGGCAGTTCCGCGTGTACCTGGTTGTCCCAGATGTTCGGAGTGAGAATGAGTTCCTAGAGAAGTTTTGTGGGGAGGTGCTGGCCAAGGGAAGTGCATTAGCTACGGCAACCACAAAGGCAGCTCAGAGCTATTCAAGTAGTGAAAGGAATCAGGCGACAGATGATGTGTACATGGGCCACGCGCGATATACATCAGTTTCGCAGGTGGCGACTTTTGCCTTGCTCACCACTGCCCAACGGGAGAGCTTCGAGCTGGAAGATCTACCCGCTGTGCTGAAGCAAAGCCGCTGGACAGTGTATCTTGACGAAGCTGGCGGAGAGAAGGGCGGATGTACGAGCAGGTGGTTTGGGGAGGCAGATGCGACGCAGACGGCGGTGGTGATTGTGAGACCGGATGGGTATGTCGGAGCTGCGGCTCGTTGGAGTGAGTCTGATGGAATGCAAGCTGCTCGGTGGGTCAATGAGTACTTCGAAGGGTTTATGATTTGAATTTGATGATAGATGAATACTACGCAGAATGTATTTGAGTATCAGGAGTCGAATCTAGAAGATTGAATTGATTAAACTATTAACTACACTGATCAATACTTCTTGATGTTGCGAAGTGCATCACGTTGCTCTTCAATTACACGCTGCATCTCTTGGATCTGCTGCTGTTGCTGTTGCTGTTGCTGTTGCTGTAGCTGTTGCTGTTGCTGTTTCCGCCGCCGCCGCCGCCGCCACCGTTGTTGTTGTTGTTATTGTTGTTGTTGCCGTTGCTGTTGCTGCTGTTGTTGCTGCTGCCGTCACCGCCGCTGGCGCCAAGATGAGGGGGAATGGCGGAGGCGCGAGGGGCCATGGTGGTGGTGGTGATGAGGGGGAGGAGGAGGAAGAGGAGGATAATGATGATGATGATAATGATGATGATGCGGCGGAGGAGGAGGGTGAGGAGGAGAAGGTTGCGTAGGAAAAGGGAGAGGGTGAGGAGAGGCTGAAAGGCAAAGTGCGAAAGCCCCTGGGGAGCCAGCCTCACGTCTCATACCACTGACAAGCGAGCTCCACCCATCTACTAGCAGTCCACCTGCCGACTCACCCTCCCTCTCCTCACTCCTCGCTCGTGAGCTTGGACTCCCAAGGGAAGAGTCTCTCAGCTTTAACTTTGCTTCCCAGACTTGCCACTACCAGACACGAACTTTCGAGTCTCTAGACGGAGATTGTCGATGTCTCCTCATGGTGGAGGGCTGAGATGACAGTAACTGAATCTGGAGCGGAAGCTCTCTTTTGAAGTCTTGTTACATCTCATGCAGTGTTACCCCAGCCTCTCCATGAAGCCGTGTAATCCAGCATGATTGTCAGCAGTTCCAGACTGAGCATGTCCTCGCCTGTTCAGACCCTTGCTTGAACAGAGCCATGCTGATGGATGTTTATTGCTGGGTAATCCTCGGCCTTCCCACAGTCTCATGAATTCGGGAAGAAACCATGCCAGGGCATATGTAGGAACGAGTGGAGGAATAATAAATGTGAACATAGTGGGTAAAACAACGGCAATCATCTGAGAAGCAGTTGGTTTCTCTGCGCTTGAGACCCCCGAGCGACCTTCGGGATACAGGTGACAGAAATGCAGACATACTCGCTTCGTGCAGATACACTTGCGCCGTACTGTAAGCCATCGTGATTGTCGCGCGAGGCATGGGTCAAATCGTCTTCTAGTGTTACTGTCATGTCTGTTGGTCGAGGCTTGTCGCCATGGCTGCGTCTTCACAGTCATTGCTGAACAAAATTGCCATAGGGTCTTCATGTCTCCCCAGCTGGTCTTCTCAGCTAGGCACTAGGCTCATATACTTGTGTTCATACGTTGATCGAGGTCTTATCTTCTTCCAGGTGGAATAACATCCGACTCGCGCACTACCGAGAGATTGGCGGAGAATCGATGAGCGGAAGGACAGAGTGGAGGAACAATCACAGGTCCGGTATGAGAGAAGATCCTCATCCCGGGCAATATGTTGTATGACTGTTTCTCCTTCACAGCCGGATGCTCTACCTAGTCTCTGTGAGTCCAGCTCCGGGCCTACCGCAATGATAGTCGTTGTTGTGTATGCTAATATAGGTCAGTGTACTTTAGTGCTTGGTATCCAGCTTGCGGAAACGTCAGTATGCAGCTTTGTCCATTGTGTTCAGTCTTAGTATACATATATCAGTTCCACTGGTTCGAGAATCACTAGCTGAAGACTCGCACTCAACTCCGGTTTCTTTGTTACTACAGGCATCATACAATATGCCAAGATATGCCACAATGTTCAAGTGAATCTTTGGACCAACTCACAAAGAACAAACAAAATCATGTCCGAACCAAAGAATGAGTTTTGTTTGGTATGACACATGTTCCGCCTGCGAATCTCCTTCAAGGTAATAGACAGGCATGACATAGGCGGTGCCGGCGGTGCCGGCGTGGCTGGAAGCGGTGGACGAGCACAGTCTTGATGTTTATGCGCATTTGGGCTTCCGGGTCGTCGAGGAGATTCAGGTGGGGGTGGGCGAGTTCAATCCGCGGGGGGAGTTCGAGGCAAGTGGGACGGGGATTCCGTTATATGCTATGATGTCTGAGTAGGAAGCTGTCCTTGTCATTTCCAGGTCTTTCGCCCAGTTTATTCTCTCTCCACCTTTTCAATCCGGCCTTCGCCCCATCGATCTTTTCGCAAAGGCTTAAAAACTCTTAAACTCTTAACGACAGCTGAATTGTGGATCTCCCGTCGGCCGTATGCCCTTCAACCAATAAGACTCCTCCGAGCCGATCGATCGCCTGTTTTAGCCGGTGCTCGTATCGACTGCAACTCGGGGAATTTCTATCGACGGTAGTAGAATTTCCTTCAAAAAGGGGCCTGTCTCTTGTCTGATTCCTATCTCTGATGGGTTTTGTCTTCCTCTCACTCCAACAGCTGTAGGGAACGTCCGGATTAAGTCGCTCGTTTGACCTCTCCTGATCCTTCGTCGACCAGTACTACGCTCTTTGTCTCGCTGACCTCTCCTTCTCCTGATCCTCCTGAATAACCTTGTCACTTCTTACTTGATTGTGTTCTTGTCGCATTATCAGAATGAAGACAATCCTCCGGAGCGCATTGCTGGCTCTGCTCGCAACCACCGCCGCCGCGGTCGGCACGGGAGCCTGCACCACCAGCGCCCAGCAGGCTGTCCAGAATCCTTCCTTCGAGGACGGCACCACCGACTGGACCGTCGCGACAGGAGCGGCAGGCAGCGTTTACGACACCTACCGGACTTCGTCAGCCCCCGATGGCAGCTATGTCATCGCCATTAATGGCGATCTGGCCTCCAACGGCCTCTCCCAGACCCTGACCGATCTGGCCGTGGGGAGTACATATACGATCAGCCTGTACTGGCAACTCTTGTCGGTAGGCACAGGAACCTGTTCACTGAATGTCTACATCGACTCTGCGGAGAGCAGCAATGTGGCGGCCACCGGGCAGCTCACGTCGGCAAGCAGTGCCTGGACCCAGGTTACTGGCCAGTGGACCGCGACCAGTACGACTCACAAATTGATGGTGGACTTCACCTGCACGGCCGGCAGCTTCTCGAGCAGCTCGGAGGTCAATTTTGACGACATCACTTTCACTGGTCCTACCGTGGTCAACTGCCCAACTTCGACTGCCCAGACTTCAACGCCGACTCCCACTCCGACGCCCTCCGTCGCTTCAGCGTCGTCCTCTACGCCTGTTGTTGCTACAACTTCTTCTAGCAGCCCAGCTGCCTCATCCCCGGTTCTCTTCACCTCCGTTCCGGTGCAGAGCAGCAGCAGCGCAGTCACCATCGTCCCCTCTGTTCGTCCATCATCGGCAGCGGTGCGGCCATCGTCCAGCATCCCTGTGCAAGCCTCATCCGCATCATCCTCCGTTCGCGTGGCGCCAAGCCAGTCAACCCCGGCTCATCAGCTCTCGACCGCATTATCTAGTGCGCCGTCCAGCTCCGCTGCAGTCCCGAGCCTCACGTCCACTGCCCTTTACGGTGGCAGCACCGCGATCGCGGCGACAGAAACAGATGTGGACGTGCTGACCTCCACCGTCTACGCGACCGTTACCGCGACTTTCACCGTCGCATGTTGATGAGCCTGATCCTTATCGACGGATTTTTGAAGGTTGAACGGCTCTAGTAATATTCCAGCGTCTGTTGACTTGTAATCATGCAGGGGAGAGTATTGTAATAGTAGAGCAGTTTCTCTTAAGTATATCCATAGAGTACCCTGTTAGGCTCAGGTCTTATGATATCAAAGATATGATCATAATTACGTTGGCGCTTCCTATCGTACTCAGCTGGACTTGAAAAAAGCCAGACAAGCTGCCAGGGTCACGCTCAATACAATGATTGTCTATAAAATGGCACCTTGAAGTGGTGAGCAGAATTAATTAGTCACCGTCTTGAGGAGCGTCTCGACCCTTCTTCAGCCGCGAGAGTCACCACTTCCCGACCCTTACCCGCCAGATAGTATAATTGGTGCGGGCCGACCTCCGTTGTCGTCGTTCGAAGGGGCAGCCTGCCTTTGTGTTGCTTTCGGCAAGGACTTTGTAAAGCGCCATCTATAGTCCATTGAGGACTTGGGTACATAGTTCCTGATCATCATTCCGATTTCGTTCTCAGGCACTTCGAAGTACTATTCTCCTGGCTACACACATAGCACTGAGTACAGTATCTCTCAGCATAATCACCTGACTTTCAGTGTACGAAGAGTCTTGAAATAGAGGGCATATTATAAAGCATTACTCGGTAAAAGAAAGTGTCAAGATGGTAAACAGTATAAATTATTGATAGCTACGGCGGCGGCAACCTTTCTTTTTTTTCTTCTCTGATTCTGGATACTTCATTCTTCCGGAACACTCACAGCATAGTGCTGAGTGACTCGAGGAGATAGAACCGTACAGAAAGGAAAGGCCGAGCCAGCTAAAACTCCTCGAATGGCAGGGCAAGCAACGCCTCCCGGTGGGACGTCCACGAGTCGTCGAACCCCCCGAGCAAGCAAATCATGACATCGACCGCCACCTTGTACTTTTCCCGATCCTCGGGGAGCGCAAAGTCGAACTCGAGCTGGCCGTCCAAGTCGAGCTGGTGGTTGCGCTCTATGAAAACCTTGAAGAGGGCCGGCTTGCCCGCGCCACTGGCGAAGACGAAGCGCGCGCGGCCCCCGCGGACGAATACCCCACCCAGGGCCGCCCAGGGGTTTCCGGGCCGACCCTGACGCATCATCCCCCACCAGTCGTCTATGCCCTGGCGCGCTTCTTCCCAGTCCTTGTCAACCGCCAACCGCTGGATGTCAAGCCGCCAGCTGTCCAGTAGCTCAGGGCCGTCGTCAGCAGATACGGGGTCGTTCTCGGGGAAGGTGTGCTCGTCTGACATGACGGATGAATGGTTGAAAGGTATCTATCCCCGGGCGGAAGATAGCAAAAGCAAATGGGGTGGTGGTAGGGATGGAAGTGGCAACGATGGTGGTAGCGGGCGTTCAGCTCTATTTATCGGTTATTTGTACAGTATTGGATCAAGGACGGACCCTTTGGATGTCGCGAATATGGGCGAAGATTCCCTCGGCTTCTTTATTCTTTGCTTTGTTCGAGTGGATCTTTGTTATCCTCACTTCTTTGGCATGTTCCTCTATTCTTGATGTACTGTACTGTACACAGGGCGCAACAAACACAGATGACTATACACTAGCAGAGGTAATTTTATGTTAGACCGCCTCGAGGATTGTCTCGGTCCTCCTCCGGCCCGCTGGGTAGTAGCTGGGCAGGCCTGATGATTATATTAGCCTCTTTCTCACGAAATAAAGAGTACAATCTCCTACCTATACCTAGAGAGATGGTATTACTGCTGATGACTGTTGGTAATTCACTAGGCTTTCATTGTAAGAAGAACATTGATTGATCTGTACTTGAAAATATTACTGGCTAAGAAAATGGGTCAAGATAATACGATAAGTACTTCGTTTAACTATAATGGCTGCCTGTTTTTCCCTCCCCTTTTCCCGTATTACTTCTTCCCCATATTACTTCTTTTCCCCCCGTTACACACGACACAGGGTGCCGAAAGAATCGAAAGGGAAAGAGGAGAAGAAGGAGACAGGTGAAGGCAAATCAACTAATAGCCGCGTACTTCCAGTACCACCCTCTGCAACACTTCCAGGGTATGCTCCCACCAATCGCCCTCGGCCCAGATGGACTCTTTCAAGACGTCGGCCCGGTCAATGAACTTATCACAATCCTCGGGCCGCGAGAGGTCGAAATCAAGCTTGTCGCGCCCCAGGAAGCGGGCCGGCTCGCCCTCGGGGGCGCCGTAGACGAAGCGCGCGTAGTGCCCGCGGACCATCAGCCCGCCCATGGGTACCTCCACCAGCTCCGGGCAGGCCTCCCGCATCTCCTGCCACAGATCGTTGAAGGCCGGCAGCGCCGCCTCCCACTCACAATCATCCGGAATCCGCTTGACGGGCACTCGCCCGTCGGGCAGCAGTAGTGTTGACGTTGCGGACATGATGTTAGGATCAGGATTGTTGAAAGTTGTCCTGGGAGAAGGGGGGCACTGGCAGGTTAGGGCTGTTGATGAGGGAAGGAACATGTCATGGTGAGGGCAGTGGGCGTTACTTATAGATTTTCGGTGCAGCATGACCTGCCATAATGACCAGATATCAAGAAGTATGGAATAAAGCATCTATCCAGCGACGGGCTGCGCGCGGGCAAGTCTTGCTGGATGTGCTTTTGTGCTTTTGGTTGTTCTTGTGCACTCCTGCTCTGTCTTGATGATTTGGCTTGGTTGTCTGTCTTGGTTGGTGGGAAGGGCGCAACAAAGTCCGCTGACTGTGCACCTGCGGGGGCTGAAAGGACCTTTGTACGGAGAGTAGTAGGTGATAAAGGTGTGATGACAATGAATGTCGATGTCAGAATAGTACCTATGTCTGTGGCTGTCGAAAGTACAAGGGGAACGCTTTTGACTGGACAACGGTTGATAACAAGAGCTTACAAGGGGCCTTGTGGGTGGTAGCAGAACCTGGATCAAAGATCTCCCCTTTGGTAGTTAATGCTGACTGAGTATAAAGAAGATTCTTCACCTTATCACCGGCACAAGCACGTCTTCCTCCAAAATACAGATTCGGAGGCATTTCAGTATCGAATCAATTGTAAGGCACGTAAAAGAATCGAGTCACGGTCTGGAAGAAAAGTGACAGCCAGCTACATACTTGAATCAACAAGTCAAGCATGATGCAAAAAACATACAACAGAAGGGATTCGCTGGTGGTCACCCACCCAACTACTAACCTCCCGGCGTGTGGCTTAAGTACGGCTGAGCGGACGGGAAGCCCTGTTTTCCACACCCTGTGGTCGTATGTATTTGGGTTCTGCAAGATACAAACCATAACACATGGACAAAGCAAGATCTCGAACCATAGAAGTTTGTATAACCGTGAGCAAGTTGTCCCGTGGTCAACGCGCAGGTTGGTAGAGCACCAGAATCAGCACCACTGACCTGCGAAAGGATTTAACGACACTGTCTTATTCTCCATGGACTCAGCCACACCCCCGATATCCGTGGAGCAAGCCCTGCGATGAGGTCAATTGTCGTCATAGGAGGGTGAGTCAAACATTTTTTGCCCTGAGTGCTAGCTGAACTCATGCCTGTGTAGCATCAGCCACAGTCATGCTGAGCCACTTCCTAGCCTTCCACTAACGCATAGCATAAGTGGACCGCTCGCATGAGTTATCCGGCATCTCCGGCTGTCAGGGCCGAGTTCGGACCAACCGAAGCATGTCCCACTCCCAGCACGTCGGTACCTTCAGTTTACTGTTGGATCATTGGATGACGCCGGCCTTGACTCGCATTTCCAGCATAACAGACAAATTGATTGGGCCGCAACAAGCTATACTAACAAGGCCACATTAGTGTCAATCAGTATTAGGTGGGTATTTACGTTACTGATGGAAGAAAATTTCGCAAGCGAGTCAATGTAGCGGCCCTTCTCTCCGGGTGATTGGTCGAGTACCCGAGAAGGCTCCACCGGGCGTTTTCCCTTTCTATGTGTAGCCTCAAGCTTACTAGGTACACGTTAGTGCTGTACAAACCTATTCAAGGTTCGGTTCATGAACCCGTGTTCGTTCGAAATTGTTCATCAGAGCTTACTTACTTTTACTGTTTTCGTTTTGCCAAATGTGTGTTGTGACGTTAGGATTCAGGTTCATATGTTTCTCCGCTGGTATATTTGATGGAAGCAGTCACTGTCCTCGATTTCCTTCGGATCTCGCGGGTTGTAGCTTCGACGCTAGGGAATTATGATCCAAGCTGAGGTGGATGTGGCTGAGAGGCGTCGAGCTAGGTAGGAACGCCAGTGGCAGCGCACGAGGAGCTTGAGTAAGAGTTCAGCTTCGGAATGAGGCTTGGTGGATCATACACTTTTTACGATATTCGATTTTGTGGTTTTGTTTTTGTTCGTAGAGTCGCAGCTATAAGAGCCGGGTGTCAGCCACATTAAGCTTGATATTAGAGCAAGAAAGTGTACATAGCATTCTGGCAAACAAGACGAGGCAACTGGAAGCTATAGCCTTGCACTCTGCAATCGACAACACAATTATTCATTACCATTACAATCATCATACTCAGACAACCTCAGCTCATTTGACAGAATGGCGGCATCATCGAATTGCCCTCCAGAGAATGCAAAGTTCCGCATTCTCATGCTCCATGGTACGTTTCAACCTCATCACCACCATCATCTCGATCTGGTAATCAAGAGCTAACCAGAAAACAACCAGGCTACGCTCAAACAGCCCAGAGCCTCCGCATCAAAACCCGCCCTCTCCTCCAAGAACTCACCCAGACTCTCACTCCTATCCTCCAAGCAAGATACCCCGGAGGTATTGAATACCTCTTCCCCGACGGACCCATCGACCTGGACACCAACTCCACCTCCTTCACCACCACATCTACATCCCACCCCACAAACGCAACGCGACTAGCCTGGTGGCTCAACCTTGATGACACAAGCCGTTACATCTTCCTCAACGACACAGTCCACTACCTCTCTAATTTTCTAGACGGGAAGCCCATTCACGCGATCATAGGCTTCTCGCAGGGCGCCGCGCTGGCCGTGATGCTCGCGGCGATGTGCGAGGCCGCTGCCGATCCGCAGCGGTTGCAGGCCATTCAGACACAGAATCTTCCCGTTGACACATTTCTGCAATCGCTGTCAGGCCAACAACCGCTTGAATTTGTGTTAAATTTCTGCGGGTTCCGCGGCACGATGGAGTATTATAGCATTCTGTACACGCCGGCGCTGTCGACGCCGTCGTTCCACGCGATCGGGGTGTTTGATACGATGATCACGGCGGAGGAGAGTCGCGAGTTGTTGGAGGCTTTCGTCGCGCCGGAGGTCAGGTGGTTCTTCGGAGGGCACTTTGTGCCAAGGGATGCGGAGAGTACGCGGCAGGTTGTCGGGTTCGTGAAGCGAGTGTGTTTGGAAAGGGCGGTCGGAGATACGAGGCGGTTGGGGTCTGTCTTGACAATAGGCTCGGGGTCGGATTCAGAGTTGAGCGTGTCGAGTTTATCGGGTGAGAGACGAAGGTTGAAGAAGGTGGAGGTGCGTGTGAGGAAACGGTCTCCGGTTCAAATGGGGTGGGGAAGACGGGAATTTGGAGTGAGGCTGGCATTGGCAGTTTGAGTATTGTACAAAGGGAGAAGGGATAGATGAACTGCAATGCAGCAATTGATATGATCGATGCCTGCAAAGATGTGATTGGAAGAGTCGGGTATAGCCAAAGGAACAAATCACAACAAGAAGAACGAAACATAATCCTCAATTGAGCTTTGGGAGTACCTTGATTCGGATGATAATCCTTGCATTGTGCTTGGATTCAATCTTAGCAAAAGAGATAGTCTGTGTCTCCAATGTTAGAAACTATGCACACACAGCTTTCGCGCTTGTATTGATCTGAAATATACACTTTCTTGCTCATACTAGACAGCTCAAACACGAAATGATGGCTCAATGTTACTGTTGGAACTTGTTCGACCTGGTTGTGCTAGTCTAAATCCATACCCACACCGGTTTCGGCGACCGATTGCAGTCTGCATCTGCAGCAGCCCTGAGGACAGCCACACTGCCCTAACATGGAAGTTCAAAGACATCCCCACACATGGCAGTTAGCAAGAATAGGCTAATCATAATGTGTGCGAGCACCCAGGGGTGGTCATGCGAACCTGGGCCACTAAACTTCCTTCCATCAAAGTCTCTTGGTTTGACTATGTAAACTGCTACAAGTATACAAAAGCAGTTCGAATAGGTAGAAACAGATGAAAATCTATAGATAAGTGACGACTCAGGACCAAGATACTGTTCGAAGAGTGTGATTTAGTTCAGGTATGGAGATATCCCTGAAAAGACTCTTCTTTTTCAGAAAAGTATCTAGAAAGGTCGTGTTCACTTAAGTTATCTAGAAAAAGAACTTGCTGCTTACTTTCGTACTGAGGAAGATACCTGGAAAACGGGGTCTTGCTTACTTGCTTACTTAGGGAGGTGCCTGGAAAGCCTGGAGGCCTTATTTACTAAGCCAGGTGCTTGTTAAGGCATTAGGTGCCTCTTGTCTACCTACTTAAGACAGGTGCTTGGTAGACTGGTTTACATTGCTTGGTATTATAGTTTAAAATCTCGATATTCTAGATTATGGGCAATAGTCAGTAGAGTCTTCCCGCATCGGAGACAATACTTACTCTAAAACTTGAGTAACATTGTAATATTTGGTAAAAATTCTAGAAATGGAAGATAATCGTTCTATATGAGCACCTCTAACACATACGTGGGCAAGGCCAAAGCGGCAATTTTAAGCCCCGTCCCTGAGTCAATCGGGGCAATCCAACCGCGCGGGTGGAAAACAAGTTTTCAGACAAAATGGTCAGCCGTAGCCACTCCTTTCCTGATTTGAAGCCAGGGCATCGTTCCCACATAGTCCTCCCCACAATATCCCATCTTCAATTGCGGGGTACGGATCTCCGCATTTCCTGAAGAAATTCTACGATGATGGCATCATGTACTCTGAACGCAAATATTTAAGCCTTGAACTTTCCTACGGAAATGGGATAGTAGACCATCTTGTGTTCATGACAATCAGAAGTCAGAATGCAACTGTCTGTTCGCCGGCTACTTTCACTCGGCCTGCTGGCCACAGCGCTTCCTGCTACAGTATGCGGTGCCAACCGATCCTCAATGCTCCGAACCGTGGTCACCACCGACCTCGAGCAGGACGACTTGGCCTCCCTGATCCGATACCTCCTCTACACCAACGAGCTCGACACCCAAGCAATCATCTACAGCTCCAGCCGGTACCATTGGTCCGGTGACGGCAATGGAACCAAATTCTTCTTGCCCGATCGTGAGTACAACAGCCCGCAGTGGGCGTGGCGCTGGACCGGCACACGCACCCTACAGGACAAAGTCCTCCCTGCCTATGCTGAGATATGGCCGAATTTGAACAACCATGATCCCTCCTACCCGACCCCCGATGAGCTCGCATCGCTGATCAAAATCGGCAACATCAACTTCGAAGGCGAGATGGAGCTTGACACCGAGGGCTCGGACCTCATCCGATCCCTTATCCTCGATGATGACCCACGTACGCTGTACTTGCAGGCCTGGGGTGGTACCAACACCATCGCCCGCGCGCTGAAGTCGATCGAGGATGAATACTCGGGCGGGTCGCAGTGGAATGAGACTCGGGCTGCAGTCGTTAACAAAACTGTTATCCTGGCCAGTGGGTTCCAGGACGAGACGTATGCGGATTATATCTCTCTCCACTGGCCGCAGATCCGCGTCGAGCAGCTGGAACCTGGATACACCACCTGGGGCTACAACTGCAACAAAGGCCAGGGTAACACACGCGGACGCTCCACTGGCGATAACCTGTACTTCACGGGAAATTGGATGAAAGCGCACATTCAGACCGGACCGCTCGGAAGGCTTTACCGCTCGTGGATCGATGGCCAGTCCATGGCCGGCGATGCCCAGGACATTTTCGGGAGCCCAGCCACTGCAAACCAATCGGCATTTTGTAAAGCCCTGGAGCCATACGCCTTCTTGTCCGAGGGAGACAATGTGGTGTTTAATCCCTTGTTGACGACGGGACTGCAGGATCCGGCAAACCCGAGTCTCGGCGGATGGGGCGGTCGCAGCTACCAGAATTCCACCTCTCCCAATCTGTGGGTCATGGTGTCGAGCGAGAAGAACAAGGCGGGCGACGAGGTTGACGACTACACCACCGACCGATGGGCAGGGGCGGTGCAGAACGACTTTGCGGCGCGCATGCAGTGGTCCCTGACCCCGAAGTACAGCAGTGCCAACCACCCCCCGTCCGTGACGATTCTGAACGGAACGACAGTCGAGGCACAGGCCGGAACGACGGTCATCCTTGTCGGAAATGTGAGCGATCCTGATTCCAACAATGTCACCACTACTTGGTGGCAGTTTTTCGAGGAAGGCACTTACCCGGGCAATGTCACCGTGACGGACGTGGGAGACGATTGGGCGGAGGTGGAGATCCCCGCCGATGCGCGGAATGGCGAGACCGTCTCAATCATCTTCGAGGGGACGGATGACGGGCAGTTTCCACTGACTCGCTACGGGCGCGTATTCATCCAGGTTGTATAGCTGGTTTGCTTGCTTAAAGGCATATAATAATACTGATAATGCAGCATACTCCCTACTGTCGACTCGTCGAGCATGATCGGGTAGAAAAGGATGGAGGTTGTCATTCATAACGGTGGGGGAGATGAAGAGAGGAGAGGAGGGGAAGTAACGACGGGAGGATTTATTGCTTATCACTTATCGCTTATCTGCTTATCGGTTATCTCCTATCTCCGCCTTTTGGCCCCTTCCCCAGTCATCATCTCAGCTGATCTGTGTAGACTGTTCATCCCCTCAATCAGGATGAAAAGCTGTCGTCTGGTATAATATGCTTTGATATAATGATAATGCTTAGAAATACAGTCGAGTGGTGACCACTGTGTCTTGTCATGCGGCTCCAACGCAGGTGAATGAAGGAGTTTTTGGTAATCCGTGCTGAGCTGCGGGGTATACATAGACCATGGGTGAAGCTTGAAAGTGTTTTGGGCACGTCCAGCAGCGATTCGAATTACTCACAGGCGATCAGTTCCGAGACACAAATACGTTTCAAGAATCAATGAGCGCACCAATTACTGGCGAAGCCAAACCGCACTTCCCAATTGTCAGAAGCGATGGGTGGTCCACCGAGAACGAAGCAACCGCAACCTGCTTCTGCGGCGCGGTGCAATTGTCTTTTGTAAGCTTCACACCAATGTCTTTGCTCAAGAAAATCTACTGAAAAAGCTTCTAAACCCGTAGCCAACCCACGGTCCCGGCTTCGTGGTATCCTTCATCTGCAACTGCACCGACTGCCATAAAATCACGGCCTCGATGCACTCGACCGGCTTCATCGTCCACGACACCCATCTGAAACACCTGCGCGGACAAACGGTCCTAAAGACCTACACGCAGCCTAAATCCCCCGGAAGCGACACGACGGTGACCAACCACTTCTGTTCCACGTGCGGATCGCTCATGTATCGCGTCAGTGCGGCTTATCCGGGCATGAGTGCGCTACGGGTTGGGACGGTGGACGATTTTTCTTTGCATGAAACGAAGCTGCGGCCGACGGTGGAGTTGTTTACCAAGGACCGCGTGGCGTGGAAGCCTCCCACCGCTGGGGTGGAGCAGTTTGTGGCCGATGGATTGCATTAAAGAGAGTGCATGTATAGTACAGTACAGTAATCTATGCACAGTATGGCACGTGGTGATAACACCGACAGTCCCCGTCTCGGGTTCTTATCAAAGTTCTTCAGGAATGGCGGGCGGGATTTGGCTCGGCTGGCGGCTGCTTCGCCCGATTGGCTGGCTGCGTGGCGGACGCAGAGAATTCTCAACTCCACCGCACTTTGGCGGGCAAAGAGTGGCAAGTCCACCCGGCGAGGCGAACTGCCGATCACGGACTAGTTGATCGAGGACGGTTGAGTAGACTACTGCTCGACATGATTAGCGTTGCATAGATGGCATCAACTGCCGGTTGGATCATGTCAAGTCACTGCTGTAGGTTCGTCTGACAGGGAAGATGATCCTGCCCTCGTGCGGTTGATTCACTGGCATTTGCCACGAGGGTTAGGGTTGGGGACTGGATTATCAAGATTATCAGCAAACGATTAGCCAAGAGAAACGGAATAGAAGCGTCCAGCGTCTTGGCAACCCCATTACGCAGGGCGCGACACCAATCACGCAATTGACTCACCCGCTTCGTTAGGTAAAACAAAAATTTCTTTTATAGACCGACCACCTTGCCTTGCAGACTTTCTTCTCCCCTTGACATTTCTTGAAAGTTTTTGCCTCTTGTGTGTCGTGTGTCGTGTACCTGTCTCAGAGTAGCAATGGCCTCAGCACCTGCCAACCACGAGGTGGACGCCCAGGAAGCGCCGCAAGCCGTCGACATGCCGCGCGTGTCTCGGTTTTCCGGGGTCAAGTCCATCTATCGCTCGATCCCTTTCCAGATTGCCATCGCCAGCGGTGTTTCCTTCACGGCGCCTGGTATGTGGGATGCCATGAACAACCTTGGCGCTGGTGGAGCTGCTGAGCCCTACGCTGTCTCGGCGGCCAACGCCCTGGTCTATGGATTGTTCGCCATCGTCTGTGTGGCCGCCGGTGCCATCAACAACCGCATCGGTCTGCGCTTCGGTTTGGTCTTGGGAGCTATTGGTTATCCCATCTATGGTGCTGGTCTCTACACCAACAACTATGCGCCTACCACCTGGTTCATGCTCTTTGGCAGTGCCCTGTGTGGTATCTCTGCCGGTTTCTTCTGGGCGGCCGAGGCGGCCATCATCATCGGCTATCCCAGTCCGGCGGACCGTGCATTCTACCTGGGTATGTCAATGCTCATTCTAATGACCGTAACATCTTGTAGTTGTGAATACTAACAGCTCAACAGCCATCTGGCAAACTGCCAAAGCCGCTGGTCCGATTGTCGGTGGTGCCATCAGTCTGGGCCTCAACGCGCAGACCTCGTCCAAGGGCACCATCAGTGCCGGCACGTACATCGTGTTCATTGTGATCATGTGTCTGGGCTTCCCGATTGCCCTGTGCCTGAGCCCCGCGGAGAAGGTGCAGCGGAAGGACCGGACGTTGGTGGTGGTGCACAAGCAGGAGTCGTGGGCGGCCGAGTTCAAGGCGGCGGTGAGCCTGATCTGGACGCGGCGCGTGCTCATGTTGCTCCCCGCCTTCTTCATCAGTTACTTCTACAACGCCTTCTCCAGCACGTGGTTGACCGATTACTTCACCGTCCGCTCCCGCGCCTTCTCCTCCTTCTTCACCAACTTCGCCGGTATCGCCTCCTCGTTCATGATCGCCGCTCTCCTCGATCGCCAGTCCATCCACATCAAGACCCGTGCCAAGATCGGCTTCCTGTCTATTATTACTGTCCTCACTGGTACCTGGATCTGGGCCTGCGTCTTGCAAAGCCAGTTCTACAATGCCCCGGAGGCCCCCACCTTTGACTGGTTCACCGGCGGGTTCGGCAAATCCTACGCCTTGGTCTTCTTCTGGCAGTTTGGCGGTCAGGCCTTCCAGCAATTCCTCTACTGGCTGGTCGGTCAGTATAGTACCGACATCTCTTCTCTGTCCTACCACTGCGGAATCCTGCGCGGATTCGAAGCATTGGGACAGACCGTTGCCTGGGCGTATGTCCCCTCCCCTGTTCTTCTGGAATAGACAAAGAAACTGACCAAACCAGTATGCAAACCGAAGGCAACGTCAACCACTTCGCCAGCATTGGCCTCAACTTCGGCGTCACCCTGCTGTGCGTCATCCCCACTTGGATCGTCCTGTCTGGCCTGGAACACAGCCACGAGGTGCAGGTCACCGTCGAGGATGTCCAGGCCAAGAACGCGGACGACTCCGAAGCCTAAAATGGCAACCCCATGGATTTTCAACAAAGTCCAACCCGAATATATAGTATTTAATATTTTAGCATGAGATACCCCTTTTTCAACAATCTGGCATCGTTTAGCGTGGAGTGATTTGTGGTGGATTCATGGAACGGAATTCAATTTATCTTTACCACCATTTCTGTTTCTTCTATCCTTTCTTTCATTGGATAATATTATCTTGGTTCGGTGTTAGCTGCAGTCTTATGCAGGCAGCTGGGGATTTTACATATCTTACCAATATGAGATTTACGACCACAAATCAAGCTTGATGCAATACTGGTCTATATTATGTCTATATTATGCTACTATGCTTTGACTATACTCCACTCCTCCCTAAGAATGCAGCCATCCGCCGAAACATCTCCACGGGGTTGGAATACATGGGGAAATGCCCACTCTCCGGGATGAGCGCCAGCTCGACCCCCTCCTTCTCCAGCCGGGGTAAGTACGACAACCCGGCGTTCTCCTCCCCGAACATGAACATCTTCGGACACGGCAACCCCAAGAACGTTTCCAGTAGACTGCCTGAGTCGGATAACTGGACCATGGACTCGAAGATCGCGCGCACCGCGCCGGCGCGCACCCTCGCGCGAATGGTGCTGGCGTACAAGGCACTACCGTGGGAGTTTGCGGTCGCGGTGCGCGCGATGAATGCATCCAGGAAGGCTTCGGGGTCGTCGGCCGGGAAGAGGAAGATTTGTCGGCTTAGGAAGCAATCTTCGGGGGCGAGGTTGCCTTTGATGTCCACGAAGCTTAGAACGCGGGTGGGGTGGTGATGGGCCAGGAGGAGGGCGGTCAGGCCGCCCATTGAGTGGCCCATCAGGTGGAATTGCTCGAACTGGTAGTGTGCGAGCACCGCTTCGGCGGTGGCGACTAGGAAGGGGATATCGGTCGCGGAGAGGTTCGTGCTGGTGGTGTGCCCGCAGCCCGGTGCGTCAAAGGCAATGTAGCCATATTGCTGGAAAGCGGGGCGGATCGCGATGTCGGCGAGGTCTTCTTTGCATGATCCGAAGCCGTGGAGGAAAAGGATGGGGGGTTTCCCGGGGATTAGGTTGTTGTGGATGGTGGCGATGTTAAGGCTCACGCCTTGCACTTGGAGGGGGATTGTCTCGTACGTGAGTGGCATGGTGAGGGTGGGTTGTGAGAAGTGGATGTATGAGTATGTAGATTGCTGAGTTCCTTGCTGGCGGATGTAGAGCCTTTATTGCCTGGCCCCAGATGCAGGGGCAATTATTAGGTTTCGGTCCGCCACATGCAGGGTCAATTGATGGGTTCGGCCAAAAGTCGTCTTGCCGGCCTCGGCATTGCCGCCCATCGGGATCGGTGCATTTACCCGACCATGCTGAGATAACCATCATGGTTAATTCAGTGTATGGGTGTATTATATCTTCCTTTCCCCGATGTTTGAATCGAGGCTCTGAGTTAGTTTGTTCTTTCAGCAGCCTCTCTGTTAATAATGGCGACATCACTCTTCAATCCGCAATTACGATTGCTCAATGCTCTCCGAGCCGGCGCGAAGCCGGTGATGACCTTCTTAGGGCTTCCATCCTTCCGCACAGCACAGATCGTAGCCCATACCGGTGTCGATGTCAGTCCCATAACCTTGTGGACACGAGGCTCTCCACTGATAAATCTAGGGAATCATCATTGACTGTGAGCACGGTAACATCAGCGACGACGGCATGCACAGCGCAACGGCTGCCATCGCCGCCATGGGCGTTTCGCCGCTGGTCCGGCTCCGAATGACCCATCCGGACCTCATCAAACGAGCTCTTGATGCAGGCGCGCAGTAAGCATCTAGCTCACCTTACCCGTGAGAGGTATGCTGATGCAATACACAGTGGCATCGTCGTGCCCATGATCAACACCGCTGACGAAGCGCAGGCGGTTGTTGCACATGCGAAGTTCCCGCCTCAGGGGCTTCGAGGGCAGGGGTCCGCATTTCCCGCGATTGCCCACGGCAACGACCTGCCGACATACATTAAGACTGCGAATGACACACTCATTACCTGCGTTCAGATCGAGACCAAGTTGGGAGTGGAGAATGTGGATGCCATCTGTGCTGTGCCGGGCGTTGGTGAGTCCTTAGCCCGACGCATCTTCTAGACAGTTTGTTGATTGCATGTTCAAGATATGATCTTCATCGGCCCTAATGACCTGGCACTATCGGTCTTGGGCTATGTCCCTGCTAAAGGTAATGAGCCCGAGTTTGTCGAGGCGATTGAGAAAATCGTGGCGGCGGCCCGGAGGCATGGGAAATGGGTCAGTCGATTGTCCAACAACGGGGCTTTATGTAAAGAGCATCTCAAGGTGTATGATACGGTGGCGTTGAGCTATGATATTCGCGCAATGCAGAACTGGTATACCAGTGAGTTGCAGGTGGCAAGATCATAATAGACACAGACAAGAGGAACGACAATACTTTGGATTCTTGTTTTTGGGTGTTGCTTTTCGGGTTGTGTCATCTTTCCTAGCAGAGTAGATTGCGCAGATATATGTATCCTTTGAAATTTGATATAACACTCAAGGCTCAAGATGTAGCAATGCTGTCGTTCAATGTCCTCTCTCAGTATGAGAAAATATAGTTTCTACCACCTGGGCCTTCCACACGACACTACTATTTGAGAGTGGAATAGGTGTTTGGTTCATCAAGGATTCAAGATTCGTAACACAAGTCAATTACAATGAAGAGTGTGACATTGCCTAGGGAGTTGGCTATCAAGTGAAAGCGGGAATAATTCACCACTACCACAATACTTCCTCTACCTGTCGAGTGTGAAGAAAGAGAGCAAAGAGCAAGTACGCAACCTTCAATCATTTCCCTCACTCATCCTTTCCATGCCGCTGCAATGTATGGTAACCCAGCTTCTTTCGTGCCTCGGCGATAGTGGCACCGCCGGCAATCATCTCTCGAATTCCTTCCTCGCTCTTCTCAATCTGGCGTGCGACTTCGGCCACCTCACGCGCCCGAGCGCGGGGCACAATGACCACGCCGTTTGCATCGGCGACCACGATATCTCGCGGGTTAACGCGGACCTTCCCGATACCGACGGACTCGTTCACGCCCCCGACCTGCACGCGGTCCTTGCCCGTTCGCATCCACCGACCAGCCGTGAAGAGCGGGTAATCATCGCTAATCGCACGGTTCACATCTCGACATACCCCGTCGATCACGGTTCCGGCAATGCCTCGCAGGCCGGCGTACTGTGTCATGATATCTCCCCAGACTGTACAATCCGTGCGACCGCCGTTGTCAATGACGACAATATCCCCCTCGGCCACATCATCCACAAAGTCTCCCACACTACCGGGTGGATCGCTGGCAGGCACATACCGGACGGTGAAGGCTGGTCCGACGGTGACTCTGGTATAATTGGCAAGAGGCATGATGTCGAATGCCTGGCCCGCAAGGCCCAGTTTATCCAATGCATCTGACACCGCCGGGGTATCAGAGTCGGCGAAGAGAGCCACAAGCTCTTTGTCTTCTGGGATGGCAGACTTCGGATTGTGCTTGGGTGGTACGGCTTCTGGCGCTGAATTCTGCTGCAGGGTTGGAGCACTCTCACTCTGTCGAATGGCTTCGAACTGCGAATCGTGCATCACCTCCGAGACAGGGTGGCCGGCACGAACGGCCTCCACCATGCGGGCCTGGCGACGATCGATGCGCTCGGCCAGATCGACAACCTCGTCAATGCGCGCAGCTGGCACAAATACCGTTCCACAGTTGTCGGCAATCACATAATCATCTTGATGAACAGTGACCCCGCGTACCTGTAAGGCGGTCCCCGACGCCACCTGCACCAGCCGATTGCGGGCGCTAATCATCGTCACTCCTCGACCGTACACGGGGTAGCCCACGTCGCGGCTGCCGTCGATATCGCGACTCATCCCATCGATGATGGTTCCGCGGATGCGCTTCTGCTTTGAGGCGTTGGCGACAATGTCGCCCCAGCAGGATATGCCGTCAGTCCCGCCTGCGATGACCAGGACGCGGTCATCAGTGGTAACGGCGTCGATGACGGGAGTGAGCAGATGTGTGGTCGGCTTCGCGTCGGTCTTGGGGCCAACTTGGACAGTGCTGGCACGTCCAACAATTTTCGGGCACTCCCAAAGGGGTCGTAAGCCAAACGTCGCCCCCTTGAGGTTGAGAAAGTCTAATGCGTCGGAAACTGTGTTGCTGTCTAGTGCTGCCAGGCGATTAAGAATGCTGATTCCGCTCATTGTGTCGGCTGCGAGTGGGAAGGGTGGGGGTTCAAGAATAGCAGAACTATGATGATTAGAAAATGTGACCAAAAGATGCCAATGGGTTAGTTCAGGGCAACTCTAATATGAAGTTGGAGAGGAACTTGGAAGGTCTTATACATTGCTACTGGTACTATCGGGGAATCGACAGTTGGCCGACGGGACGGTCGGTCGCCACAACGGGCGGATTTCTGCTCCCGCCGATCGGTAATCCTGGTGCAGGATGTACATGAGATACTATAGACCAACAAGTTTTCGGGTAATGTTATGACATCAGGCATGAAGTGATCCGGTGGCTGAAAGTGCCTAACATCCTCACGACTAGACCGCGGCTTATGCTGGATACACTGAGGAAAGTAGCACTGAAAGCCGACTCAAGTGACTCTGCGGTGAGGTGCCTTTCATTGTGCCTTGTTTGCAACAGACACCGTGAACCTGCGATCCTCTTCCCTTCTACCCAACCCCTCCGACCTCCTCAGTTCTTCAACTTTGCATCTTCAAATCAGTAAGTTGAGTCCTGATCGTCTTCCATGAACGGCGAAAAGATTACAAGCGATTCCTGTGCAATAGATGCGGATATTCTGCGCATGCCTACGCCATCAGGCGATCAATACTTAATCGCAGAGAGTGAAAAGCCTATTCCGGGATGTGCATTTGGGAGCGTCATTTTCGAGTCCGTGATGTACCACTATATGGAGTTCAAGCCGGGGTCTTGTTTTACCTAGCTTGTCTGCCGTTGAACATTGATCTCGTCGATACCTCGGGACAAAGACCGCATCTCAGCACCGGTCAAAGCACGAGATTATGGCTTGCTTGCAACCCTTATACCGACTTTGCTCGACGCATGATCCCACACAGATTGGCGAGAACGGATTCTCTACCATTTCTTCGATCCAAATCAAACCAGGGAGTAGAACTAATGTATAACATGTGCTCTGGTGAAGGACTTTCCAGATCGTCCACATACTCGTCACGCAGATCCACCTGAAGAAAGCATATATAGTGTTGAGTAGCATTGATTATAATGACGCTTTCCATAGTCTCAGAATCAGCTGGCTGAGCGATTGGAGTAGTACCAACAAGGCTTTGGAAATGACAGGCCTACCTTTGCTGTAAAGCGATACTAGGATAAGATAGTCTGGCAGCGAGTGCCTCGCAAACCATTTGCGCAAAGCTTTCATCCGAAAGAATAGACCGGCTGTCCTGTAGGCACTGAAACTGTGGCTTCGCTTCCAGGATAGCGACATGATTATGTGTAAGCATGAAACCGCCATCTTGTTTCTGCTGCCGTAAGCAAAGCCCGCCGTCGTCAATGGCGATTATCTGACGGTCTCTCCTTTTGTTAGGATTGCGAGTCGTGTCTTTGCATCCCGGAATTCGACGACTGTTGGGTGCTGAGTTAGGACCCTGCAGGAATGCCTTAATCTCGTCTGACGGAGACTGTATGTCAGATGATTTAACATGAGGCAACAGAACGGGGAGAACATTGCGCTGTGGCTACCGTTGCACTACACGACATGCCAGCAAATGGCTTCGGCTCCAAAAACTGGCGGATACTTCGTCTAAGTCTGAAAAGATTTGTCCATTCTCACTTCGAAACGGGCATTGAAGGCATACTCCGTCACCACACTCTGAAAATACGAAGGAGGAGCCATGATAACAATATTCTAGACATGTCAGATCTAGTGTACTGATTGATCATGATCAAGACTGCAATGGGAGCAGTGGGGTTAAAAAGAGGGGCCAGCCCCGCTCAAGGTGTCGGTGCCCGGTGCCTGAATTGTGCCCCACTGGCTCAAGTGACAAGTTGCAGTCACTGTGGCGGGTGCGGTGATGTTTGTGGCGGCTGACCGGGCGGTCAGAGCTGTCAGAATTTCTTCCGTCAACGCCGCGGCGATCGCGTCAGTCAGTTTGCAAAGCATCTTCAACAACATACACTCCATCATCAATGCCACCATTCTTGTGATGGCGGCCACCTCTAGGTCACCTTCCTTCTCTGAGCTTATCCGATACCACACTTTCTATTTGGTCAATCCTCTACAATAGACTTCACGCCATCTCGACCTGGTCGAGTGTCGCTTTCAAGATGTCGCGACCACCCCTTCCTATAATCCACCAAACCACAATTCCGGCATGATTTCGGCTCAACGTTCCAACCAGGGGACCGATGTTGAGAACCTTGCGAAGAACTGGAACGTCATTAACAAGCGCTGCGCACTTTTCAACATCCTAGTGAATGACACGCGCCTCTTCGCAGGACTCAGGTACAAAAGCTAGCTATGATGGACCCGTGGATTTTCGACAGACTTCACAGACCCTGCGACCCGGCAGCAAAGGTAGCCCGTTCTATTTCCGAGGTCGACGTGTGTGCCGTCTGGCAAACTATGTCATGTTTATTTACCACGAAAGAGCCATTGACCCCACAGAAAGCCGGACACCTACCCCTGTCGGTTATCTGCAGTACAACTCCATCCATGGAGCACGTCGAAAGCTATTCGAAGCTCGTCCAGGTCCGAGGGGAGAGAGAAACCGGCCTGGTGGCACATTATGCCGGAAGCGCATGCAACAGATAACTCCGGAAGAATGGACGGAGGACGCGTATTTCGTGTGTCCCCTCCTAGCCCTCGCGCAGTCTGAGGAGCAGCGGCGAGTTGAGTCAAGCCCGGCTACTTTTACTGTATGTTCTCGGTTTGCTTGCTTGCTCTCCAAGTCTTCGTTATCTTGGACTCTAGGTTGATTAGGTACAGTCTCGTCTTCTCGTGACGGAAGTAGCAGATAAAGAGAAGATAGTCCTCTACGAGGCTGACATTACAACGGAGCTTCTAGATGGGTTCAAGAATCCGAAAGAGGCAGATCGTCCTATGAATTGGCCCACCGTTAGACGCAAGAAGGTACCATACCAGCCTTACGATACCTTCCCTGAAAGGATGATGGCAGAGCTCCAGACGCCTGCATTCTCGCCACTTGATGGAACCAGTTCGATACCCGACAGTTCGGTGCCAGACATGGACGGTAAGACTCCAAGAGGTCAGAAACGGCCGCACGATGCAGAAGAGGATGCACCATGCAAGCAGACACGGATCTCCGACACATCATAGCTGAACCGACGTCAACACTAATAAGATGCTTGATGATCAGAATAGTCAAATAATTAATGTATACGAGCCATAGCAGCCGTAAAATCCTCTGTGATTCTTGCTTAAATAAGAGACCCAAGCCAAAATGGGATGGTTAACAATTGATTAACAGATTGAGCGTGGTCAGACTGTACTATGATTCTCGCCCGGGGCCTTTATCTGCCGAGAAACTGGTGCATATGACCCGATTCTCCTCACCAACTCTGCCCTCGCCTCTGGCAAGAAGACTGGCATCGGATTATCTGCCCAAGCATTACCTAAGGTGCCATTTAGTGGTGGGACCATGTTCATCTAAGCACGCATTTTCCTTGGATAGAGGCTTCCCGCCACTTGCTGGATTCGGGCTTACGGCTACTAGGGGCTTGCTACCCACAGCTCCATTCTGGGTGGTGTAGTTGCGGATAGCAGTCGGAATTAATTACTCTGGACCGCAATGCAGGGTGGAGTGTGGTTATGGGTAAGAACATCCCCGCTTATAAAAGAATCGGATAAAGACAGATGGAGTTTGTGATCTGGGAACAGTCCAGTAGCTCGGGTGGATGCTTTCCCCTCTTGTCCACTTCAACTCCACAGCAGCTCACAATTTGGCCTCAGGAGTCGTTTTCGTCTTTTGGGTATACGCATCCCAATCCACCGGCCGACCGGACTGGAACTCACGCACTCCATGGGCACCATCGCCATCGGGTTGCATCATCTCATGGAAGAGTGCCTTGATCCCCGACGCCTGTTCGTCCTTGCCGGCGTGCTTCCAGGCGAGCCTGACCAACTCCTTCGACATGCGCGACGCATGGGGCGAGACGTGGCGCAGGCGCACCAGCAAGGCGTCCAGCTCCTTGTCTAGATCCCCGGGATTCTCTGCGACCTCGGCGACGAGGCCCAGCGAATGCAGCTGGTCGGGCTTGACCGGACGAGCCGAGAGCATGGCCTCACGCGCGAAGGCTGTCCCCCACTCTCGGATGACATACTTGGAGATCGTCGCAGGACAAAGACCCAGTTTGCCCTCGCTCAGCGTGACCGTAGCGGCCTTGGTGCAGAGACGAAGATCACACGCGAACGCCAGTCCAACACCCCCGCCAAACGCTGGCCCATTCAGACACGCGATCGTCACCTTTGGGCACCGATCAATGACCTCGAACAGCTCTGTCAGCCTGGCGAACTGCGCCTCGCTGCTCTCCTTTCCTTGTGCAACCGGGCTACTCTTCCCCAAATCCATCCCCGTACAGAAGAACCGCCCCGTGCCGGTGATAACAAGCCTCGACACCGCTGGATCCGAACTCGCGGTATCTATAAGTGAGTGCAGCTCCGCAATCATCTTAGCGGTCAACGCATTCCCATTCCGCGGACGGTTCAGCACGATCTTTAGATTACCCCCGCAGCGAAACAGCCGCATTCCCTCAGCGTCAATAGCCAGAGTCCACCGTAAAGCCGTCAAGGGCGGCCGAGAGTCTGTAGGCGACTTGGCAGCAGTCTTACCCGCCAGCGCAACTCCAGCCCGACTCCCGTTTTCTCCGCCGGGTAGCTGCTTCGCAATCCAGATCCCCGTCTCGACCAACCGGGCCAGATCAACGCCCGTCTCGACCCCGGCTTCCTGGAACATATACACCACATCCTCGGTAGCGGCATTGCCCTTGGCTCCGGGCGCGAACGGACACCCGCCCAGCCCCGCGACGCTGCTATCGAAGACGCGCACGCCGCAGGTATACGCCTCCCATATGTTGACCACAGCCTGGCCGTAGGTGTCGTGGAAGTGGCCGGCCAAGGCACCGACGGGGATACCACCGGCTTCGGTGAGATAGTGAAGGAGACGGCGGACCTTTGCAGGGGATCCCACTCCGAGGGTGTCGCCCAGGCTGACCTCGTAGCATCCCTCTTGGAGGAGGGCTTGCACGCAGCGGAGCACCGCGTCGGGCGGGGTGGGTCCGTCGTAGGGATCAGAGAAGATGCAGGAGACGTACCTAGCACCATTATCAGCCTTGCTGACCTTCATCGAAGTGAGGTAGGTGGGGATTCAACATACCCTCGCACAGCCAACCCATCTTGCACAGCCCGCCCGACCACCTCCCGCGCCCTTGCAAGGCCGACCTCCACCGAACAATTGATATTCGCCCGGCTGAACCCCTCCGTCGCGCTGACGAACACCGCGATTTCTTTCACGTCGAGGGACTGGGCGATCTTCAGACCCTTAAGGTTCGGGACTAGCACCGGGAGCCGGAGGTCAGGGCTGTCGTGGGCTAATGCCCGGATGGAAGGGTGTTGAAGGAGATCCCGGCAGTCTGCGAGCTGGGGAATCCGGCGCGGGGAGACGAGGGAGGTCAGCTCGATCGTCTTGAGACCGGTTTGGTGGAGATGATGGATTAACTCAAGTTTGATGGGGGTAGGAATTTGCGTGGTGATGTTTTGGAGGCCGTCGCGAGGACCGACTTCCACAATACGGACTGATGAGGAGGGCATGTTTTTTGAGTGCAGTGAATTTATTTCGGGCGATACTTCTCAGTCGGGTTGTTTTCTGCTCTGTGCATCTAGGTATATGCACACTGGAAGGCCAGGGTACAAAATATGTGTGGACTGGTCGTCCCCGGACCGCTGGGTGTCTTCTACTCACGGACTGGCGGACCGAGGCGGTTGGGATCAGAAAGAAAGTATTGACATTGCTCACTAAACCTACAATCTCGCCCGATTCCCCTCCCTCATTCGCACCAGATGATTCCCCAACTCGCGCAGGAGGTGTTTCTGATGTTTCCCGCTGCCGGTCTTGGGGAAATCCGCCCCGACGGCCGCATCGCCGATCCAGAAGATATGTTGGGGTGCCTTGTGACGCCCCAGTGTCTGAGTGACCCAGTGCCGGAGTTCATTGTGACTGATTATCTGTCTGGCCTTCAGAAACGCCCCGACCACTTCCCCGTACCGCTCATTCTTGATCCCGACCACACTGGCCTCACTGATGGCGGGATGCGCCGTCAATCGCTCTTCGATCTCACGCGGGAAGATGTTCTCCCCGCCTATTTATGTCTGGTGGTCAGCTTGCATCCTCAAACAGCAAATACCACCACCTCCTCGGCAACACAAGAAAAAAAAAAAAAACAAAACCGCAATGAACATACCCCGAATGATCAAATCCTTAATCCGTCCCGTGACCGCCACAAACCCCTCCCCATCCATAACCACCTCGTCCCCGGTAAAAATCCACAGCACCCCGGCCTCATCCCTTCGCATCACCTGCGCTGTCTTCTTAACGTTGCGCCAATACCCTTTCTGCACCGCGAAACCCGCGGTACATAGCTCCCCCCGCATCCCCCGCGCAACCACGCCTCCCTCCCGATCCACCACCTTCGCCCACGTGTGCGGTAGCACTCTCCCAACCGTATGAATTCCTTTCTCAACATCATCGCTCAGACGCGTCATAAATGTCACTGGGCTCGTCTCCGTCATCCCGTACGCAATCAGCACGTTCGGGACTCCCATCTCGGTCCGGAGCCGGGTCATGAGCGTCGGCGAGACAGGGGAGCCGGAGGCGAGCGCGGTTCGTAGGGATACTGGCTTGGTGCCGGTTTGGGCGAGGATGTCGAGCAGGGCGAGGTACATCGTTGGCACGCCGAGGATCACCGTTGCGTGTTCCGTGAGGAGTGCGTCCACGCATCCGGTCGCGGAGAAGCGGGGGGATGGGAAGATGATGGTGCTGCCGTGGATGAAGGAGGACAAAAAGCCAAGGACCAGGCCGAAGCAGTGGAATAGGGGCGGTGGGCTAAGAATCTTATCCTGGGCGGTGAGGGCTAAGCCTTGGCCGACGAAGCGGGCGTTGTTGAGAAGGTTTCTTTTGTTGTTACGGTTAGTTGGCATCCGAGGCGAGAGGGGAGTGGGTTGAGAGGGGGGTTCACGTGTGCGTTAACATGGCGGCTTTTGGGGAGCCGGTTGTTCCTTTGCTATCGGTGAGTCCCATATAACGTGTGAGATGCGAGGGGATAAGGATTACCGGAGGTGAATTGGAGATTCAAGACTCCTTCCGGGGAGATGGTGCGTGCGATAGCTGCTTGTTCGGCTGGCTTGGGGTGGGCGTTGCTTGTGAAGGCGTCATAGAATTGAAGGTCGCTGCCTATTTGGCTGGAGATGCTGTCTCCAATGAGCACGATTCGGCGGAGCTCGGGGAGCTTCGGGTTCGGTGATTCTTCGCCTTGAAGAGCGTAGATGTGGTCTGAAAGATTCCGTTTGCTGATGCTCGCGCTGATGAAGACAAGTTTGCATGCTGGGAGGTGTCAATCATATGTTGCACTGGGCCAGATCGCGGGAGGGAAGGGCGTACAGCTCTGATTAACTGCGCTGGTTAACTCCCCGGGGGTATAAGTATTGTTCAAGACCACCACGGGACACCCAACGCGACCACTACCAAGAAAGACTTCGATGTATTGGTAACAGTTGCCTGCCATGATGCCTACGCAGTCCCCTGGACGCAACCCTATGTTGAGCATCGCCTGGGCAAGTACCCGGCTTCTCTCCCCAAGTTGGCGGTAGCTGAGCCGGACGGACTGCCACGGTACAACTACCGCCTCCTTAGAACCGTGTTCAGCTTCTTGCAGGTCGATGAGCTCGCCCAGTGTCTTGTGCCAGAGGGCAGGCTCGGTCGGGCCGTGGACTATGGCGGGAGGGGGAGTTAGAGTCATCGTTGAGTGTGTCTCGGACATGAATAGCAGAGGTGGAAAAATCAGAGAGATATCCCTCAAGAGATATGCTTTACTCAGCCGTAACACTATATATTTCGCAAGATTCACAGGCTGTCCGCGATCTCCTCACTCTGCCTCCATTGATGTGTTGCGGACCTGCCCGCGGGACCACCCGAAGCCATCGGTCCGAAGGGCAGATCAATCCCCCCACAGCATGGTCATCTTGATTGTTTTATTTCCCCCACGCCAACTTTGTACTTGTATGTACAGCAATATTCACTTGGTCTGCTTTCCTCGGGACACAGCTCTATCAGAGATCATCATGGCGGCTCAATCCTCCTTCCCACCTCTCCAATCCAAAATCGACCTCAACGATTCGCAATATCGGGCCAACCGGGAAACATGGAAGACCGTCCTAGACAGATTTGAGGAGGCTTTGGGGCAGGTCTCTGCCGAGGGCAACAATGCGTCTATAGCACGACATCAAACCCGGGGGCAATTACTGCGTAGGTGTGGACCATCCTCGCCGTGACATTAAGCTGACATGTTAGCAGCCCGCGATCGCATTGCCCTCTTGTTGGACCAGGACTCGCCCTTTCTGGAGATCGGGGCCTTCGCCGGTTATAGAAACCCCAATTCGACGCCATGTGCCAATTTGATCGCGGGGATTGGGAATGTCAGGTACGCCTACTAATTAGCCATTCCTTTCACCACCGATACTCACTGCATAGTGGCCAACCATGTATGCTCATGTCACATATTCCGACCCAGAGCGGCGGGGCCTGGAACGAAATGACAGGTTTGCCAACGCATTCAACCTGCAGAAACCATACTAACCACCCATTCCAGTACTCAAAACAAACCGAATCCTGGAAATCGCCTTCCAGAATGATTTGCCCCTCATTTCACTGGTACAATCGGTACGCCCGCCAAGTACCTTTCGTACAAGAAGCCAAATTGCTGATTGCCTCATCCCAGGCCGGTGTCTTCCTCCCGCAACAATTCCGAGTCTTTCACAAAGGCGGCCAACTATTCCGGGATCTCGCCGTGCGGACCCAACATAGCAAACCCTCCTGCGCGCTCGTCTTTGGCTCCTCGACTGCCGGAGGAGCCTATCACCCCGCGCTCTCCGATTACACCGTCTTCGTCGAGAACCAAGGGCAGGCGTTTCTGGCAGGACCGCCGCTGGTGAAGATGGCGACTGGGGAGGTGATCGGGGCGGAGGAGCTGGGCGGGGCGAGGGTACATGCCACGAAGACTGGGCTTGCGGATCAGATCGCGACCGATGAGTATGTGCGACGTTTCCCGGCTATTGAGTAACACCAGTTAATCCACCGGCTGCAGGCTGGACGCAATCCGCAAGGCCCGAGAGTGGGTAGCGACCCTGCACATCGCTTCACACCAGACACTCGTCGACACCATCGAGCCCTTACCCCCAAGGTACCCCATTGACGACCTCCTAGGTCTTGTGAACCCCGATATCCGAAAGCCTTTTGATATGCGCGAGGTCCTGCTACGGTTGATCGACGACTCGCGACTGTCGGAGTTCAAGCCGAAATACGGAGGCAATCTGATCACAGGCTGGGCGCACATCTACGGTAAGTCCATTCATCTCTCACGTTGCTCCCAGTCTTCCCCAGTGGAGTGCAGCACTAAGCCGACTACCAACCCAGGAATCCAAGTCGGCATCATCGCCAATCAAATGTCAGTAATAAACCCAACCGAAGCCGCCAAAGGCGCGCAATTCATCCGCATGTGTAACCAACAGTGAGCTACCCCCTCCTTCCATTTTCTTTTCCCTACCACCCGCTAACAACCTCACACTGGGAAGAAGCACCCCCCTGCTCTTCCTCCACAACGTCACTGGCTTCATGGTCGGCGCCAAAGCCGAACACGCCGGCATCATCCGCACCGGCGCGCAACTCGTGGCCGCTGTCTCCACCTCGACCGTCCCGCACATCTCCGTCATCCTGGGCGCCTCCTACGGCGCTGGGAACTACGCCATGTGCGGCCGGGCCTACGGGCCCCGGTTCCTGTTTACCTGGCCTAGCGGTCGGTGCGGCGTGATGGGGCCGGAGCAGCTGTCTGGCGTGATGGAGAGCGTGCAGCGGAGCAGCGCAGCAGCCAAGGGGACTGTGCTGGCGCCGGACGAGCTTCGGGCGCGGGTGGAGCGGTTTCGGAAGGGCGTGCAAGCCGATGCAGAGTGTTATGCAACAAGTGGGGGATTGGTGGATGATGGAATCATTGATCCTCGGGATACAAGGGATGTGGTGGGGATGTGTTTGGAGGTTGCGGTGGGCGCTGGAATTCAAGGTGCTGGGGGGCATCGTTTGTTGGCGAGGATTTAGTTCTGCAGGGACGGAGAGTGGTTGTTATACTTCTTCTTTGCAATCACTTTTGGATTATAGTCAGAGAGCACCCCCCTTTACTATTTGATTGTCCATCTTATGTTACAGAAAAGCGTTCGCCTGAGCGGAGGTCATTATCATACATGTCGACTCTGCATTGAATATAATCGTACAGAAAGGGACAGCATGATATACATTGCGCTGAGGGCGTCGTATCGATCGGCCAGAAGGATTGTCAAGACATGGATCTTACTGACGGTTCTCTATAGGATCTCGAATGCTGTCCAACTATGTCTATTTCAGGGCCATTTCTTCAGGTATGCAGATCCCTGTAGTGATACCAATAACACACTTCACGGGCTTGAGCTGACACAGCCAGGCAGCGCTGCAACGGACCGACAGAAGCGGACAGCGGTCCGATGCGGGGAAAGCAAAGCCAGCAACCCTAACTATTGTATCCTTCGGATAGCCTCACCGAGCGGGACCCGGAACGGTGCCTCATTCCCTTATCTGCATTGTAGCCAGCGTCTCTTTTGCCTCACCTGCATCTCATGATCACAATTCACGACTCTCCAACGCCGAACAACAGTCTCCAGCAAAATGACGGTACCCCAAAGCCCAGTCTCGCAACATGCATCCCCCTCGCGATCCCCACTCTACGTGGCCTCGCCCCCCCTCGATCAGACCACCGGTCGCCCGATCATCCAACGCATCCTAATTGCCAACCGTGGAGAAATTGCTGTACGCATCATCCAAACCTGCCGCAAGGTCAACATTAGCACCGTCGCCGTCTACGTTACAGAGTAAGCCCTCCCCCTCCCCCTCCCCCTCCCCTCACCCCAGCACAACCTGACCATCTCAAACAGAGACGCCTCATCCCGTCACGTCCGCGAAGCAGACACGGCCATCTGCCTGGGGTCACTGAGCCGCACTACCGACAAATCCCCCGCGCAAGAAGGAACCGACACAAGAAACCCCTTCCTCAACATCCCACTCCTCATCCGCACCGCCCTCTCAACCCAGTCCCACGCCATCCACCCGGGCTACGGCTACCTCAGCGAGAACGCGTCCTTTGCAACCGCTGTGCGCGCCGCCGGCCTGATCTTTCTCGGGCCAAGCACCGTCGCCCTAACCTCGCTCGGCGACAAACGCGCAGCCAAAACCTACCTTCGCAGGAACGCCCCTTCTGTCCCCTTAATCCCCGGCTTTGTCGGGACCAGCCAGACCCCGGCTGACCTGATTACTGCCGCAACGGAGATTGGATTCCCGGTGATCCTAAAAGCCTCCGCCGGTGGCGGGGGAAAGGGAATGAGAATTGTCCGGGAGCCCTCACAATTGGAAGCGGAGCTCGAGAGAGCGCAGTCTGAAGCGGAGCGGGCATTCGGGCAAAGGGACTGTATTCTAGAGAAGTATATCGCGGCCGCAAAGCATGTTGAGATCCAGATTGTCGGGGATGAGCACGGGACAGTTGTTGCATTTGGCGAGCGGGATTGCTCGGTGCAGAGGCGGCATCAGAAGGTCGTGGAGGAGACGCCGTGCGCTTTTCTGACAGCTGACATGCGGCGAGAGATGTGTGACACTGCGGTAAGGATTGGACAGCTGATCAAGTATGCGGGCGCGGGCACGGTGGAGTTTGTGGTTGATGTGCAGACGCGCCGGTTCTACTTTCTGGAGGTGAATGCCAGGTTGCAGGTGGAGCATCCAATTACGGAGGAGGTGATGGGGTGGGATTTAGTGGCGTTGCAGGTTTATGTCGCAGCGGGTGGCCAGCTGAAGGATCTGCCCGCGTTGGAAGGGGGACAGTGGAGAACCCCGGCGCAAGGCCATGCGATTGAGTGTCGACTTTGTGCAGAAGACCCAAAGAATAATTTCTATCCGGAACACGGGAAGGTTCAGCTATGGCGGCCGGCAGACGGGGTTTTGGGACCGGGGCGGGATGTGCGGTATGAGACGGCTATCCAGACCGGGGCCGAGGTGTCGATTTACTTCGACTCAATGATCGCTAAGATTGTTGTCTGGGCGCCGACCCGCGCGCTGGCGATTGAGAAAATGAGTCGCGTACTGGCCCAGACGGCTTGTGTTGGGGTCAAGACAAACCAGCTCTTCCTGCAGCGCTGCCTGCTGAGTCCCGAGTTCCGAAAGCCGACGTATACGACTGCGTTCATTCCGTCAAACCTGGAGCAGTTGCTGCAGTTTCCAGAGGTGCCGCTGCAGGAGTATTTGCCCCTAATCCCTAGTCTGGTTATTCGCAGTTTGGCACAAAGGGGGAATACTCGTGCGCGGCCATTCCAGTACATCCGCAGGCAGTTCCGGAATCAACACTGCGATCCTGTCAACATCCACTGTGACGTTGTCACAACCATCACCGGTCCCGAGGCCGGGACATCAAGCATGTGTGTCTGGGATCCACCGACGGCAGGCCAGTCCCCCAGCCTGAAACATGCGCGACTCATGCCTGTGCCAGTTGAGAAGGAACCCGGCGCTGCTACAGCTTCCTATAACATCATCAGCAACACTCTCCGTCGTGCTGCCACGAAAGCTGTCACCCCGAGCGCCATTCATGTTGACTCCTTGCGACCCGCAGAGAATTCTTTGGATTCACCAACTCCCTCCAGCACATTCACCATGGAAGTATCCGTTGACGGGCGCAGAATTGTGGCCCACGTGGCCGTTCCTTCCCCTGGCACAACCACAGGAATGGTCGACCGTTCGCAAAGAATATACTGCCACTTCCCATCTCTTGGGACGTACATGGAGTTCCAGCGGGACAGTCTGCTCTCGTTCACGGAGGGTCGAAGGAGGTATGCAACAGCCGAAGAGGCGGGTAAGCGCACGGTAACTGCGCCGATGCCCTGTAAGATTTTGTCTATTGAGCAAAAGAATGGGGATTCGGTGAAGGCGGGGCAGGTCGTCATGGTGATCGAGAGTATGAAGATGGAGTTAAGTATCGCCGTGGCGGTGGAGGGGACGTTTCAGACAGAGTGGCGGAAGGGAGACGCGGTGGAGGAGGGAAGGATCCTTTGTTTGGTGGTGTAATTGTCTCTATGTCTATAGCTGGTTTGATGCTGAGATACGATACGATCAATATGCCTTCTTGCAGTAGAAGTATCTGTGGTCTAGCAGCGGCCGTCTCAAGCTTCGTAGATAACAAGTAGGCAAACACATATATGAGGACAAAAAGCACCAGAAAAGAATAGAGTAATTGGCGTATCTTGTATCCTGTCTAGGATGGCAGTATAATGGCTTATCCAGTGGAGTTGCACAATCGAGAACGTGGAATTGATTTAAACTAGACTTGCCGACTGGCAGCACACGACACACTCATTGACAAGCAAGAGGACTTTATAGCTTACTCTGCCCCATTCTGGTCATGGCCTTGATCTCCTGGTTAATTGCCAGATCGGACAGAATCTCCTCACTGCCACCACCGACCACCATGACTCGAACATCCCGACTGATCTGCTCAATACGCGCTCCCCGACCATTCTTCGAGTACCCCAGACCCCCCATAACCTGCTGTGCCTCTCGATTGACCATCTCCAGGGTTCTACCTGCTAGCACCTTCAGATTGGCAAACAGTCCTCCCATGGCCAGATCCCTCCCTTCCTTGCGCGCCATATCCGCCATGTAGACCAACTGCTCCATCCAGGCATAGGCCGAATCTAGACTTCGGCCCATTGCACTGAACTTGGCGCGAATGACCTGATTCTCGATGAGCTTCTTCCCAAAGGTCTCCCGCGTAATTGCATGCTTGTACGCATCCTCTGCACAGACCCGTGCCATGCGCAGCGACGTACAAGCCAACCACAACCGTTCATGGTTGAAGTCTATCCCATCAGCACTGTCCCATCCTTGGGCAAAGGTCATACTCACTATGCATAATGATTGGAAACCCCTTATTCTCCTCCCCGAGTAGATTTGCCACCGGAACCTCAACCTGGTCGAACTCAATATACGTGGAACCTGTCGCAGTCAGTCTCAGTCCTCACCGGTGTGCGAGAAACCATACCACTAGCCTCAACCCCGGAGTTCCGTATCTTCCGACACGTCACCCCGGGCGTCCCCTTCAACGGAATGACCAGCGCCGACACGCCCCCAATCCCTGCGCCCCCGGTTCGCACCGCCGCCGTGCAATAGTCAGCGAAAATCCCATTTGTGATCCACTTCTTCGCCCCGTTCACCACATACACATCGCCCCGCCGCTCCGCCGTCGTTGTAATGCCCGCGACATCGGAGCCCGCTAGCCATCCGCGAAGGTCAGCATCTCACTTCCCCAGGTCACCAAAGAAAGGGAGAAAGAGATACCATCCGGCTCCGTAACCCCCAAGCAGAACCGCACCTGCCCGCGCACCAATGGCCCCAGAAATCGTTCTTTCTGGTCGGCATTCCCGAATTGCACGACCGGCGGCGCTCCGATCGCGTTGCCGCACCCGAGCGCCCACACTACGCCTAGGTATCCACTGCGCGCGAGCTCGTCGATCACGATCAGGTCGTGGAAGACGTCCCATTGGGAGGGGTGGATGTCACCGGGGAGGCGTTGATTGCACTGCTGGATGTGGGCGGTTGCGAGGGGGTAGACTGCGGCAGCGGTGTAGCCTTTTTTTGCGTGGTATTGCTGGACCTGCTTCCTGGGTTAGCGTGCTAAATCGCATGGAGGATGGATTAAGAGTGATGCACCTCGGGCGGGACGAAGCCCTGTGTTTCCCATTCTTCACAGAAGGGGGCGATGTGCGTGTCTACGTACTCCCTGACTTCGCGCTGCAGGTGGTGATGAGATGGGGTATAGTAGGGACTGTTGGTGAGGGGGCGGGTGAGCCAGAGAGGGTCGGCAAAGGGAGTGCCTGTTGCGGACATTCTGTGCTTGTGGTTGGGTTAAGGGATGATTTCGGATCGGCTTGCGTTCTGAATGCTGGGATAGAGCTGAGTAGGATACATCGGAATCTGTCCATCCATGTGGATAGTGCGTTGTATACTTGGAATATATGTGTACGGTTCTGCATGAGTGCCAGATGGTGGTCGGGTGCGGGCCGGATTCAGTTTCCTTTGTGTCGTTTGGGTGAGTCATTTTGGGCTCGTAGAACAGAACAGAAATGAAAAGTTGTATGCCTGTAATTTTTAGGCTGTCGCTCAACTCAACTGTCATTCTTTGGTAATTGGGTAATGCGAGTGGAGACTCACGAAGAATTGATTGCGCGCCCCTCGGTCCGATCAGCCCAGTGGGCTGTCTGTCTGGCATCGGTCCGCTGCTCGGTCCGGTCCTGGGCTGGTTTCCGGGCTGGCCTCGCCACCCTGCGATTAGACCGAAGGTTTGGCTGATACAACAATTGTATAGAGGTAACATTGATACACAGGATAGCATCTGAATTGTACTACTTTAAGCACATAGTGTCAAAGTAAAGCATGCATCATTCCTAGCATTTTACCCTATATCTCTCAAGAGACAATCGCAGACCCCGCTTCCTGAACAACAAAACCAGCCTGAAAAGCAACTCCGCCCTACAGTCACATCAGTAAGCCCATTCAATATAGCCAAGCACACTGCAGCAAACCCACCTTTCATTAAGCATCTTCATCAATCCCTGCACCAGAAATCCCTTTACAATCTGCAGCCCCAACCCCTTGTATAACCTCCCTAGCCCCTTATGGCTTACAATAAACCTCAACACCTTCGTAAAGCCCCGGAAGGGCTTTCCACCACAATAGACAGGGGCTTTAGACTGCAGCATTATTTTGGCGACAATTAGAGGCTGCGTAACAACCGTCGCGACGACCTTCGACAGCGCCCCAAGCACTAGCCTCGTCGCTGGCGCGGCAGGTCTGTTACCTGGTCACAATGACGGCGATGAAATTCGTACACAGTTGCGCCTTTGCGCCCTCTAACGCCCCGAGGAGCAGTTCTGTTACAATATTGGTCTCAACCCGGTTATGCGATGCCCGGAAGAACTTCTGGTACGCGGCCCGCGCATGGGTCGACCAGTAGAAGTAGAAAAGGTTCATGGACCACGGTGTTGAGAATGGAGCTGCTCAGGCCCTGGTAAAGGCCGGGGAAGCCCTCTTCCTGGACAATGTGGGTCACGGCTAAGAGAAGTGAGTCGTAGCTTGGTGGGGGGAGGGGTAAGCTGCCCGGTTTCCCCTCTTGCTCGCATTGAGCAGTTCCCTGACGGCGTTGGATTTGGACATTAATGCTAGAGAATGTTACCAATGTTCTATTGGGGAACTGGAACCGTAAAAGGTCGGGCACAGAAAAAGAAAGCATCTAAACTCAACCTGTCGAGCGGTTACACAAGCACATTCGCCAATATGGCGGATATGGCGGCCGTGGTGCCTGAGGCTACGGCCTCCCATGGTGAAAGTTGGGACTTGGTTGTCATTCTGAAAAGTGTAGTACCCCATGAAAGAACACCCCAAGAGGTCCAGCATATGGACCTCCTTATTTCCAGAGATAATGGCTGCCAGGTGAACAAGGACCCAAGCGGCCCGGGAAAAGCAACCCGGCCCGGCCGGAGTGAGAGCTTTCCGATACACCAACAAATCCTCATCACATGAGTTCAGTCGTCAGCGTACTAGAATTCAAAAGAAATTCCACTTCATGAAGTCGCAGAGCCGGCGAAAGGCCACGAAACATATCCTCGTGGCTCAGGTCTATTCTCGGAGATGATGTCGAGATTGGCATACTCGGCCCCAGAGCCCAGGATATGGGCGAGGAGATGCTGGGGTAATCCGAGCCGGATGCACTCGAGGTCTTGCGCGGATTGCTGCCTAGGATGGAATAGTCGAGCATGGACCACAGGGTCTCTTCGGACACGGGACCCGGATCGCTCAGTGGGGTCTTTGCGTCGATAATGCTACTCAACCCGTGGCGCTGCGCGTGGAAATCACGCAGACGGATGGACTGGTTCCAGGACAATTGTTAGTGATGGTTATCTCACGGGTCATTGAAGTGGACATACCATATTAGCGGCATGTGTCCAAATTTTGGCTAATTGATCAAGTATATCAACAGCATACTGAAAGCAGTCCCGCATATCCGAGAGCCGACAGGAAAGATTCTGATGCTCCTCCTGTGACGCAATCGATAGAATCACTCCCGCGATCGCCACGCAGTACGCGTAGAACGAGGACTCGACGAGTCCGCCCGCCTCAGACACATCCCGGAGGAGGCGTACCAGATGCGTGGCATGATCTACTCCATTCTGCAGGGCGCGAGTGACAAAGCTATGCGGAACCTTGGAGCCAAAGGGTTGAAGGCAAATTTTAAGAACGAAAGGGTGATTCAGCAAACAGTGGCACAGATGGAATAGGGTGTGCGCGAAGGTCTGGTGTCCCAGTTCTTGTTGGTTCAGTGTCCCCGTCGCTTCAGCACTGTTCCTTAAAATATCTACCACTGACGCATTTTCTGACGTCGCATAGGATTCGAACAGCAGCAAGGAAGAGCTGATTGCGATGTATTCTGACTCCGTGTCCCAGGGCGGAATCCCGTCCGTGTGCCGGTTGGCATACACATATCGCGTGCAGCGACCGAAGATGGACGCCAGAAGAATGACCAGAGCAAACGGACTGGGGCTTTCAGCAATCTCAGTGCTCCAGTTAAGGAGCTGATGCAGGGTGTATGTCTCCTTCATCTCACCTAGTTGGATGGTGGTCTCGTCGCACGGAAGCTGGATCTGGCAGTCTTGGTCGAGAATGACGAGGGGGCGCGATCGTCCACATGAAATGAGTTTGTCGAGCAGGTAGACTGACCAGAACGCTCGTCGGCGTTCCTCCTGCTCAGCAGCAGGTAGCCAAGCATCAGGCTCGCTCATCAAGCCGAGTCCTTGTGAGATGCGCGCTGCCAGACCAATTTTCAGCCACCCTGAATTGACGCGCCCAGCTAGAATTTCGGTTAGCCCGGACCATTGGACCCTCACACGGTCGTCCACGCAAACCTACCTGTGTAATCAATTACTGCCAGCATATTCACCGTCTGCACGACATGCACCCCCATGTTATCTTCTACTGTCAAGTGATCTGTTAAGACGGACAGCCAAGCCTCCCGAGCATAAACCTCTGATGTCTGCAGTGCCCTTCCTGCGTAGAACTCGTGAGTAGAGAAGCGAACGGCGGAAGCCAGTATGGCTAGTATCAAGCATCGTGGCAGGGTCCCATTCTGTATCTCCTGTCGGAAGCTGTTCTCCTGGAAATTACTGTATGGCTGGTTGTGCACATGGAGAAAATAGGTCTCAAGGATGGAGTCCAAGACGGGCTGCGAGGGTGTGACGAATGGGTGAAGGCCCGGGACAGCAGGCTGTGTTAACGGAATCTGCTGCTCGGAAGGGCCAGAATCTATAACCGATCTTTCGAGATTAGTTAGTATAGCTGCATAAGTAACTGAAGCGCGTGGTGGGAAATACCGGGGTTGGTGTGCGGCCCGTTCACTTAACTCCGCCAAGCGTGACTCAATCACTGAGATGCGCTGCAATAGTTGGGTCTAGGAGATCATCAGAGAATGACCAAGAAGTTCACAAAGCTGCGATCTTACATTCTCACAGGTTGGCGCGGTCGCGGTGTTGGGAGGATTGTCGCTGATGGTCACGGAGTAAGGCTCATAGATGCAGGAGTGCTTATTTCGCCGACAGTGGGAACAGATCGGACGCTCCCCCGAGCACTTTGTTTTCCTACGCCTACACAAAAGTCCTATTGATCAGTGAGACTTCAGCCCGTAATGCTGAGTGACCTACCGGCAATTTGCGCACGCTTGGCGAATGCGCTTGAGGTTGCCCTTTTGCAAGGGGGCAATAAGGGGACCCATTGTGGGAGCTTCAAGCTTAGGCTGTGAGTGAGATAGGGACGAAGACGATATACAGATAACCAGATAACCAGATTCGATTGAGGATGATGATGACGAGGTTTGCGGGGTTGGAACACACGACGGACGGAAAAGTAAAGTTGCAAAGCACAGGGCGAAAGCAAGAGGGGAAACAAGCGATAGACGCGTGGGGCGCCGTCTTCCGCTGCGGGGAATTTCGGCCCTAATTCGGTTCCAATATCGATCCTCAGCTGGACTGCGCTTTCCAAATACATGGCCGTCACCGGTTCTAAACACTACTATGATGTTAATTGACATACTTGGACCTGCTAAGCGATCCAATTCCCAAACTTGGCATGACTGAAGGGTGAGAACCAAACCTGGACTCATCTCTAGTTGGCTTTGGAAACCTATTCTTTCCATTATTCACATCATTGTATTGGCGAAACTACGATAATATGCGATCAAGACCGCACCTTAAATGATTGCTTAAATTGTTGAAGTATAAAATTTAGAACAAACAGAGTTGATTCCACTTTCCTGGCAGTAATACACAACATACTCTACCGAGCAAAGTGGAGGTGCAAAGCATAAATATAACTTCAGAGACCGTCGGGAACACACGGGAGGTATTACAACTAATCCGGCGCCCTATGATAATCAAAGCAGAAGGGAGAGGAAGACACCTGTGACACCTGTGGGATTCATTATGCAAGTAGCCTTGACTGGGTAACAAATAAATTCGAATTAGGTAGCACTTTGAATATGTGTGACGTAAGGTTGGACGGCCAATGTGTGTGTGGTATCGGAAGGTCTTATCAATTGCGGTCTATCAGCGTGGCGATAAGCACTGGAAGACTCTTGATAACCTCACCTCTCGCTTTAATGCCCTATTCGGGTAATTCTGCCCGCCGCACATACACATGCAGCAAACCGACAATGATGATTGGCGATTGTGTGGACTGCCAAACACAATGAATCTGGGGAAGTGGCGCGTGACTGTACGTCAGATTTCTCCCCTCAAATGCCTATTGCAGCAATTTTGTACCATGCGTCGATAAAAAGAACATTTCATTCCCACCGCAAGAGTAATTTCGGGCCATCCTTTGCGGTCCGGCTTATCAGGCAGAAATGGAGCATCAAAGGGATTTTCTTGTATGCCACATTGGAAAGTACATATTGGGAAGGCGTTGTTGTAGTACAATATAAATATATCCATACGAAACCTTCCTTCTCCAGGTTTGGGGCATCATAGGCAATTCCTGATCTGCGCACATATCCCCTCCATAACACCGCCAAAATGACCTCTCGTGACGGCTACCAATGGACGACAGAGACCGGGCTGGTGCAAGGCGTTCCTTGTATTGGAGTTATCTCACCCCCTACCAACATCACCTCCTCCCTCGATCGCTGCGATGTGATTGTCATTGGTGCAGGCTATACGGGCCTCACAGCAGTGCGCGATGCCTGTCTGGCAGGGTTGAAAGTCTTGCTCATTGAGGCCCGTGATCGCATTGGTGGACGGTCCTGGTCCTCGAACATAGGAGGATATCCCTTCGAGATGGGAGGAACTTGGGTACACTGGGGTCAGTCGCATGTGTGGCGTGAGATTTCACGGTATCAGATGCGGGATGAACTGGAGCCTTCGTTTGACTTTTCCCACGGGGTCAACCATTTTCAATTACGCACCAACCATGGATCCAAGACCGTCAGCCACCGAGAAGAGGTCAGTGGAAAACCCCGTAGATTCGAGCTTACCCCGCATTCCCAGGGTCCCACATCTAACCAATAACTGTATAGGATGAGCTTCTTGCTTCCGCACTGCACAAATTCGTGAATGTGGATGGCGAGCTGGGCAGGAAGATCATGCCGTTTCCCCACAGCGCTTTCCATGTGCCTGCAGTCCGCCAATACGACCAGATGTCCGCCCAGGATCGTCTCACCGAGATTGCCGCCTCGCTGACCCCAGACGAGCGAGCCGTGGTCGAGAGCTTCATTCTTCTGTGCAGCTGTGGTACCCTTGAAACCACCAGCTTTTTCGAATTTCTCCACTGGTGGGCTCTTTGTGGCTATACCTACCAGGGCTGCTTGGACTACCTGATTTCCTACAAGTTCAAGCGGGGCCAGTCGAGCTTTGCTATCAACTTCTTCAAAGAGGCAGTCTCGACAGGCAATCTGCTTTACACCTTCAATAGTCCTGTGCAATCCATCGAGGATCAGAGCGGGAAAGTCAGTGTCACTACCCGCGATGGCCGGAGTTATGCAGCCGCCCGCCTGATCTCGACAATTCCTCTCAATGTGCTCAGCACCATCGCATTTTCCCCTCCCCTGGGACCCCAGCGCACGGCGGCAATCAATGTGGGTCATGTAAACCAGTGTGTCAAGGTCCATGCCGAGGTGTCCAGCCCCGAGATGAGATCGTGGACAGGAATCTCATATCCCTTCAACAAACTCACCTATGCTATCGGCGACGGGACAACTCCCGCGGGCAACACCCACATTGTCTGCTTCGGAGGGGCTGCGAACCATATTCAACCGGAAGAGGACCTGAACAAGACCAAGGAAGCCGTTCAGAACATGGCTCCTGGCAACATGGATATCAAACGCTTGGTAAGAGTCTTTGTCAGTAAACTTTTCCCCCATGGCTGATCCAAACATCCTTAGGTGTTCCACAACTGGTCAAAAGATGAGTTCGCCAAGGGAGCGTGGTTTTTCTCTCCCCCAAAGCTTCTCTCCCAAGGTCTGGATGAGCTACGATCTCGACACGGGAATGTGCTGTTTGCCAATTCGGACTGGGCTGTGGGCTGGCGTAGTTTCATTGATGGTGCGATTGAGGAGGGTACGCGGGCAGCAAAGACTGTTGCGGAGGAGCTGCGATCACCGTCGACTTCGCGGCCTCATTTGTGATTATCGATTATGCATAGCATTTTCTAGCTTCTAAATAGAACACAGTACTTTATCCTATCTCAACTCGTGTCATTGGTTTGAAATCCATCCCTCCACAACTGCCAGTACGGCTATAAATGTTATCGGGTGAACTACTACAATCTTTGACAAGGGTACGCATAATTCAATCTCAGCGTTATGGATGTTCAAAGACCTAAACCCGCGGCCAAGCGAAGCGACAGGCACCAGAATAAAGGTAGCATCCTGGTTTTTTTTCGGGCAGTAGTGACTTCCCAAATTACATCTCTTCGATGAAGAGAGGACGGATACCAGATAACGACTAAAGCGAGGGCCATAGCTATCACCGTATCTCAGAGCTAGTACTTTTCATGTAATATCTCCCTTGATTCGTCCTATGACATTGCAGATAGCGAAGAGCGCATTGATAATGTCTACAAAGCCAGCTTATCATAATCGGATCATTCGCCACGCTACAATGCCAAAATCTCAGGTTATTGACCGGTTTGGGTAATATTCACCTCACTCCCCGCATCATCAATTTTAACCGACAGAACTATTTTGTATCAGGCTCCCTTCGTATCAAGTTCATCCAGATACACCTCTACAGGCCTGATAGAAGATGAAACCTTTAAAGAGGGTGAAGTTCGTGCTCGTTGGGTACTATTGATATCAATCACCATACTGGATTTGAGAGAAAGTGTTATCAGAATTGTGCACCGGTACTGGGAAGATGGGAATGTTGAATAAGACCAAGCCAGGTATGCAAGAAGGTACCTAACCACATTGTTGAGGGTCTGCTTATCTCTTTCTCATCAACAGAAGCAAGCTTGGATGTTGAGCAACGTAAGTTCATGGCTTGATGCTTCCACCGACCATGTTTTTCATCTCACAACCATCTTCTCTTCTAGAGTCAGTTCAAATCGGTGGGCTGGTGGAACAGGGCTGCCTGGAAGGATTAGTCCTGAGTCCAGTTGGAACCCGCAAGATGAGCCCTCTTCAGATCATCTCCGCAAGTTGGATCGTCTGCGACAGTTGGGCGGGGGTCTCGGCTACTGTGGCTCTGGCCATTGTCCAAGGCGGCCCCGTTACCATAGTCTATGGACTAATCCTAATGTTTTTACTTGTTGGTGCCTGTACTCTCACCCTATCCGAATTGTCGAGCGTCTACCCCACGGCAGGAGGGCAATATCACTGGACCTCAATCCTGGCCCCGGGCTACATTAGCCGAGTGCTGGTACGTATTACTGTTGTGACACGTCATTCCTGCTTGAGACTGCGTTGTACCAGTTACTGACCTATTTTCAGAGCTACGCCTGCGGAATAGCCAATATGTTCGCCTGGATCGCTATCTCCACCGGTATTGCCATCATCCCGTCCCAGCTCATCCTAGGCATTGTTCTCTTTTACAACCCCGGCTTTGATGCTCAGCCCTGGCATTACTTCATCCTCTATCAAATGATCAATTTATTGGTACTCTTCTACTGTATTATACTTCTGAAGAAGTCCCTTTGGATCCATGATGCATGCTGTAAGCACCCAAGAGCCCGTACCTCAGCATAACCTGACTCTTTAGTCTTTATAACCCTGGCCTCGTTCTTCGTCATCGTCATCGTTTGTCTCGCCCGTACGGCTCCCAACTTCCAGCCCAACGCCCATGTCTGGGCCACTTTCCTGAACGACAGCGGATGGACATCCGGCGGGGTAGCATTTCTCACCGGTCTCGTCTCCCCGAATTACATGTACGCAGGCATCGACGGAGCCCTACACCTAGCCGAGGAATGCAAAGACGCAGCTCGGGTAGTCCCTCGCGCACTTATAAGCACGCTCGTCATCGGCTTCGGTACATCCTTTGCGTTCCTTGTAACTATGCTATACTGCACCAATGACCTCAAAGCAGTCGTCGCCTCACCCACAGGGTTAGTTGCGCCCTCCCCTCTCCGTTATACAATTCTAACCAACCCCAGCGTCCCAATATATGAAGTCTGGTATCAAGCGACTCACTCAAAAGCAGCGGCAACCACCTTTATAATCCTGCTCAGCCTAGCAGCTGTCTTCGCCCTAATCGGCGCTCAGGAGACCGCCTCTCGGTTAACCTGGTCCTTGGCGCGGGACAACACGCTTTTCGGCAGCACCCAAATGAGGCAGATGCACCCGACTCTCGACGTTCCCGCCTGGGCTCTGGCCTTTAACTTCTCCGTCATGTTCATCATCGGCTGCATTTATCTAGGGTCATCATCCGCGTTCAACGCCTTCATCGCCACAGGCCTGGTCCTGCAGCACGTCTCCTATGCCATTCCCGCCGCTTTGCTACTGTTGCGTCGCCGCGGTAGCGCTTGGCTCCCTGCAAACCGGCCCTTCCGACTGCCCAGTTCGGTGGGCTGGATAGCAAATATTGTCACAGTCGGCTTTTCGGTTTTGGCGTTGGTGTTTTATAGTTTTCCAACGATAAGGCCGGTCACTGGGAGTAATATGAGTGAGTTTTCTCTTTCCTTGAGAGAGGCGATTGTATCAAGTTTAGTTACTGATGATCCTGATTAGATTATACATCTGCTGTGCTAGGAGTTATGGCGATTGTGGCGTTGGGGAACTGGGTGTTTTATGCACGACGGTGGTATCGTGGACCGAGATTGCATGAGTAGCATTAAGAGGTGGAATCGGGTTTGTTACTTGCCTGACATTCATGCTTCTAGAATCACATCGGAATGCTATTTTGGTGGTAAAATGAAAGGAACCCCTACAATGCCTTTTCTCTGGAGGATCTATAGATAGCTCACAGATGCCTAAGGCAACAGTAGCCGGAAATACAACGGGCCCCTAAGGAAGCCGTTCGCTAGCCTCTTTAGCAATAGAAACTTTTCAACTCTATCACCAACACAAGCCTGCTGAAATGGACGACGAGGTGTTATACCCCCTTGTCTGCATAAGGTTTATTCCACATCATGTAAAAAAGACCCTGCTGTACACATTCTGTGACTTCATCTGATTTAAGTCCATAGATCCTTACCCATATTATTGTCACAGCATACCGAAGAAGCTCCATGTCCCCGCACTGCCTCTACATTCTCGAAGATGACAACAATATTGAAGGTGATGCAACAAGTGCTATAGATATGCACTGTGAGTACAATACATCTGCCTTTCACGGGAAATCTATCAATGATGTTGCTTGTCTTCTTCGAGAAAAGGTAGTTGGAAACAGAGTAGCAACAAATGTCTTCTATATCGCGGACGACCAGACAATCCTAAATTATAGCTTACTCTTGGTTCAAGTTCAACCAGACAACAAGGCTCAAAACTTTCTTAGTGTTCGACTGGCATGTGAATTTATAAATGGAATGGCAAGGTTTATTGCTCATCATGAATACCCAGCATCGATCCTGGACATCCAGGACGATGTCGATGATGATGGCGTGTATCGGGGTGGTAGAAAGGACCCGTACATATATTGTGGGACACGGACTGTCTACCTTGATGAACACGACGCGTTGCAATAGAGCATCCAACCGGAAACTTGTTTGCAGACTATTTTGAAGTTGATCAGCCAGGGTCATGCTATGCTATAATGGCAGTAAGAAGGCGTTCTGGCCATATAGCAGGTCCGCCAAGAATCAGCCCAGTTGTTTAATGAATGTGAGTTGTTTACCCTATCTCAGAATGCACATAGCAAAATAACAAGTCATTCATAAAATAGAGAATATCTATACTATTATCTTTACTGTAAATGCTGATTAGACAGAAATCCTGGACTCCAGTTACTACTTACTTTATTTGTTTAGTTTACTGTTTTTAATAAGTTAATAATTTATCATATTCACCCTATAAATATCTATATAGGGAATCAGCGTATATTTTCAGACTCTAAAAATAGGAGATTAGGAATTTTTTTTTATATTTAGATAAGGAGAAAAATTTTTTATTCTAAATCCTAATATAAAAATTAAATTTACAACTTTGATATTAGGCTAGTAATAGCTTACTAAATATTATAGCTGAATATTACTATATCTAAATATAGATAGTAGTAAATTCTATATTAGAATATATACTAAGCCTTTTTATTCTATAACCCTATCTACTATATTAAATAAATAAAACTATAAAAAACAGCGGAGCTAAAAAGCAGAATCCTATATTATTTTAACAATTTATTTTAAAAAGAATAATTAAATATCTTTTTAATTTTTAGTATTTAAAAATCTATTTACTGCTTTAATATTGTCAATCTATATAGGAAAATGACAAGTCTAAGTGTTTAATAAAATAAGAGATATTAAAGATTAAAAGTCTTTTATCTATAGAGCTTTTTATTCTTGTAAGGGCCTATTCCACAGGCCCCAGAATACCATATATAGGGTGTTTCTGCTGGTGGGTCAGATGCTGCTACCTAATTGGCTAAGCAGTCTAATAGAAACTAAAAAATATTTTTTAAAGTAGATATAAAATAGTAATTTTATATATAGAGTAATAGCTTTTAAATTTAGATAAAATAGAATAAGTTTTATTTATATTTATAATTCTAATCCACAGGTGGAATTAATTTTTGCCTGGAGATTAGTTAAAGTAGAGCTTAGATGGGGCCCTGAGGGCTACCCAATTAGTTACAGTAGTTATATATATATTTAAAAACTAATTAATCTTTAATTAAAAAACTAATTAATAATTTTAAATAAAATAACTTTAAATTCTAGTAATAAAATTAGATAAAACAAACTAACTTTAGATTTATTTTAAAGCTGTATTAATCTAGATTTAAATAAATAATAGTAGTTTAAAATTAGATATTTTTTTAGTAGAGTATCTGCTAGCTGCAGCTGCTGTTAAAACCAACTAACTACCTAAATTATATAAAATAATTAAAAAAAAGTCTAAATATCTACTAGATAACTAATTTAAATTAAATATAAAACTATACAGTCTAATCTAATTTTAAAAATTTAAATAAAAAACTAATTTTTTATTTAGCTGGAGGGGCTGCTAGTAATTATTTATAAATAATACTAATATTACATTAGGGTTTACATTAGGGTTTACATTAGGGTTTACATTAGGGTTTACATTAGGGTTTACATTAGGGTTTACATTAGGGTTTACATTAGGG